TTTTTTTTTCTTTTTGAGGCAGGGTCTTGCTATGCAGTTTAGGCTGGCCTTGAGCTCACTTTGTAGCCTAGACTGGTCTTGAACTCGAAATGATCCCCCTGCCTCAGCCTCCCCTGGGATTACAGGCATAAGCCACCATGCCCAGCTCTTGGGCTGAATTTTTAAGATGGCAAATTCCTTGCCCCTAAGGAGATTTTGGTGGTGATGGGAAGGAATAATTTTCCTATAATTTATTAGATGTGAATGTTTCCATTTTAAAAAATTTTCTAGAGATAAAACAGCTAAATTCCCAAAATGCAGAGTGTTTTAAAAGAAAGGACTTGGTCTGATTCAAATATTTTTTCTTATATGCATTTTGTTTTTGATTTTTTAAGACACATCCTCCCTGTGTAGTTCAGGCTGGCCGTGAACTCACTAGGTAACCCAGGCTGGTCCTAAATTTGTGTTGATCCTCCTGCTTCAGCCTCCCACGTGCTGGGACTACAGGCATGCACCACCATGCTGGGCCAACATGCATTTTTATTCTAAACATCACATCAAAAAAGGACAGTTTCTTGAACAGATACACATATACAACTAAAAATGAAAATGTTTAGAGTTAGCCTATAAAGAAATAAAGCCCGATCCCAATTTTGCAGTAGAAACAAATATAGCACTGGAATTATATATCGTGTTCTAGACCAAAGGTCAATAAACTTTGTCCATAAAGGAGACAGTAAATATTTTAGCTTTTCCAAATCATACTATTTTTGTACCAAAACTTAGTTCTGCCATTGTAGTTTGGGTGTTTATTAAAAGTTTCCTAAGAAATCTTGAAGTTAAAACACACACAAAAACACAACTTGCCTTTTTGGGGGTTTAAATTAATGTTTTGAAAAAAATAATGTTTTGGGTTTTTTTTTTGTTTTGGTGCTGGAGATTGAACTCACGATCTCACGTTTGCCAAGCAGGCACTATGCTCTGAGCTAAACTCCTGGACCCTAAGTTAGTATTTTGAGGTGGATCTTTATTATACCACACTTTTTATGCTCAGGAAGTAGCACCTACATTGCACAGATACCATTCTATAGAAAGATAATGCATGTATCCAGTTACAGGTTCTTTTTTCATGTTCTACCCCCACTCCCTTTTTTCTCAAAGCCTTTTTATTTGTTTGTTTTGGTTTTTCTGAGACAGCATCTCACTATGTAGTTCAGGCTGGCCTTGAACTTGGCGGTGACCCTCCTGCCTCAGCCTTTGAGTGGGGAATAAAGGGCATGTGCCACCATGCCCAGCAAGGCTGTTTTTCTAAACAATAAATTACTTGTTTTTTTTTTTTACAAGTATAAAGAGATAAGTATTTTAAAATAAATTTGTGAAAATAGCAAAATACCTGTAAATAGCAGTACTATAGGGATAATTCTGTCTGTTTCACAATATCAAAAGCAAAACTCTCCCAAATGAAAGCAAACTGCCAAATGAAAATTTTTTTTGTACTTACTGATACAGTGCATTTGTACACAAACCAATGAAACATTTTAAATTTAAAAAATCAGTCTTGAGTAAAACACCATGCCTGAATGACCAGAACCCATGGACACCCACTCTCGAGACACACTGCAACCTGAAGTGGGGCTTATCACAAATCCATTTTCCTTTTCAGGAGATTTCCAACAATACCCTACTGATGGTGAGGAATTTTCACCAGGCATTGGGAAACTAGAGGAGTTACCAAATAATGTCAAATCATTTCTTGACGATAAGCACAGACCCTTGTTCCACCCTGTTTACTGGTTCCTTGCTGTTTATGTGTTGGCTTTTTCCTGGACTCTGAAAATCTAAGGGATGTTGGAATCCCAGAAAAGTCATCATTCACAACAGCTCAGCAAAAACCTGATAGAACCACTGTGACATACGTCATGCCAACCTTGGGAAGGCTGGCTTAGAAAGCACTAATGTTTCATCTACTTTGTGGCATTGCTGTGACCTACTTACTGGTATTTGCTTCAGCTCAAGTGAGAAGGTAAGTTCAAATAGTGCATCAGTCAGATGGTGGTTTGCTGCCACAATGGGCAGCCTTAAATGAGAATCCCATAATGCTACAGCAGTTGTTTTAGTGTCATACTCAGCCAATAAAGCAACTGATTGGTTTTTGCAACAATCATGGGTTGGATCAATGATGTTTGAGTTTAAAAAGACAGATTTTCAATCACCTTGGAAGAAATTCATGGACCAAGTAAGGCTGTGGCATCATACACCCAAATGACAACCTACACGATGACAAAACAATATCTTGAGCAATGTATGAATGGGACCCTGACAATTCTGGCTGTACAAAGAGAGGTTCTAAGATTCAAGGCAGTAGAGCAGAATGGTTTGAATTTACAGGAGTGCTATGCCATCCTGTCACTCTAGAGTTGGCTCCCAGAGTCTTTCTAAATTTAGCATCAGCAGGACGATATTGGAGCAGAAAAGAAAGTGCCACAATATCTGGATACAGGATCCCATCATCATGCTCGGAGTCACAGTTAATGAGCCACTTTTAGCTCAAGCTAGAAGAAGAGAAAGTGCCATGGAGCAGGTGGGGACATGTCCCCAGAAGCAGTAAGAGATCTGGTCATAAATGGTGTAACAGGATACATGAACTAATACTAATGGTTAAAAAAAAAAATCTGTCTTTGCCCCTGTCCATTCTTAATTTCTCTATTCATGTGTTTCTTTCAGAATAAAGTTTAAAGCTTGTATATCCCATGTATTTATTCATGTCAAACATTAACATGCAAATAAGTATATCTGTGTCATGTAAGTATATTTATATCAAACAAATTTGCTTTTTTACATTCAACTGCAGATTTTTTAAATTTCCCTTCAGATCTATAGATAAAATTCAGTGTTCGTGACTACACTATGCTTATCCCTAAGACTTCGCACTTGCTAGGCAGGAGCTTGAGCTGCTGAGCTAAACCTCAAACCTAGCCCAAAACCTATTTAAACATCTCCTTAATTGTGACAGTTTTCAAATTATCTCCTACTTCCCATTTAAAACTATTCACTGAATGTGGGGGCACCCACCATATAATCCCAGCTATTCAAAAGGCTGAGGCAAAAGGATCAAAAGTTTGACATAAATCTGGGCAATTACTGAAACTATCTAAAAATTTAAAAGGCTAGGAATATAGCTCAGTAGATAAAGTTACAGGGTGAACTCAGGAGTAAAGCTATCATGGGGTCAATCTCCAGCACTCCAAAAAACAAAAAACAAAAAAAAAAAACCCTGATTCTTCAGGTGGTGATATGGCTCACTGGTAGAGCACTGATCTACCATGCTTGAGGCCCCAGGTTCAATCCTCAGCACCAGAGGGTGGGGGAATGGCTATAAACATTCTTATATTCTTGTCTATTTTTTAAGTTTCCCAGGCTTTTTCTAGCGTTTTCTGTGTTTTCTTGGGGGGGAAGATTTTGCTTACAGAATATTTCAGAGCATAAGAGAATGAAGAAACTATAGTTTTCTGTATGGGTATATTCAGATACATGGACATTCTAATCCTTTGGGAATTGAGTGTTTCACATGGTATGATAAAGGAAGTCAGCTTTGTTTGCAGCCAGAAATAAATATGAGTATGCTAAAGCTAACTATCTTCTGTTGATTTAAAATTTGATGTTCTCTATTAAATGCTCATATAGTCACATGTACTCATATCTTTGTCTTTTGTGTTCCAGCAACGTTTGAATTTCATTTTTCAGTAACTTTTATTACTTGGAAATACAAGATATGCATATTATTAATATAGTTTGTTATTTTCAAATAAAGACAATCTTCTGAACCAAATCTTTTTAACCCTAAGGAAGAGGGCAGACTGGCTCACTAGAATCTATGGCAGAAGCAAATCAAATATTACAAGGCATAAATTTCTTTTAAAATCTTGTTCTAAAAGTTATGCTAATTTTCATTCTATAAGCCTGTGCTTAAATACAAAATGCATACTTTTTTTTAAAGTCATTTTTTTCTCATGAAACCAGTGAAGCTGAAGCTGCTGGCAGATGCAATATTTCTGTCAGAGCTGAAGAGAGTGAACATTTGGTTATTTGAAAACTAACCTAACAATAAAATATGCAGGTGGAAGTGGTGGTGCTATCCCTGTAATTCCAATACTCCAGGAACAGGTAGGAGGATTGCAAGTTCAGGCCCAGCCTAGGCAATCTGAGACCCTGTCTCAGTGCAAAGGCCCTGCGTTCATTTCCCAGTACTAAGGAAAATAAAACCAAAATGCACACAGGATCAGGCACGTCGTTTCTCACAGAGTAACTCACACAGCCTCAGCAAAACAAACCCATCCTGATTTCAGACACTTTGAGCCATGATTCATATAAATACTCATGGTAAAGTTACAAACATTTGCACTAACATTCAATACTATTTCCTCGCAGACCCTCACATCCCACAATAGTACAGACCCCGACACACAACTCACTGTAGGAAAAAAAAACTCCCTCACAAATCTAATTCCAGTCGCCTCAGAAGCACTAAATCACCTTCAGACCTAAAGACAAACATACGGCGCTGTCCTTGCTTGCAACGTGGAGCCCTGCCTCCCTTTCCCCCTCCCGATTGGTTGCAAACAGTCATTCTTATCCATCCCGCTTTAATTGACGCGCAGCTATCCTTCCGCTCCCCTACCCCAGCGGTGACAAAGGACCAAAGCCTCTTGCCGACTGCGGACTCTCAAGCCTTCGGGTTCAGCCAGCTGGCAGCCAAGACGCAGCCTTGCTCACCCGGACTTCTGCGCCTGCGCACTCAGCGCGCCTAGGTCCCTCCCAACATCCCTAGCGTGCGGGCCAGTAAGTGTCTCGCTCTGTGTACTGTCTGTCAGTAGAAATAGTGCGCTGGTCTCCGTTAGCCGTTTACTAGAGACGTTCAGGCGTTCCCAGGGAGTAGTCTTGGCTAAGCGCATTGGTACTGACCGCCCTAGCAAAGGCGTCACGGCGCGCGAGGTAAGGACAGGAGAGAAGGGGCCACGAGGAGCACCGGGAATCCGGCTCCGGGAGCGCGGAGCGTGTGAGGAGGACGGCGTTGTTGTGGTGTGTGTGTGTGTGTGTGTGTGTGTGTGTGTGTGTGTGTGTGGGCGTGGCAGGGCCTGGGTGTGGCATCGGGAGCCAGTGTGTGTGAGGCGGGGACTGGTACGCGATGGCGTCTGTATGACTTAATTGGGTACAAAGCGTCCTGTGAGAACCAAGTGTCCGGGGCTGTGGCGCGTGCATCTCGGAGCCTAGCATCTTCGGGCCGCGTCGCCACACCGGGCCCGGGACAGAGAAATGGGCTCTAGTCAGCATCGGAGTGCCATGATGAAGAATCCATACAAAAAAAGCTCAGGCCCGCTCTTAGGCTGAGAAGGCCAGAACTGAGTCGGATAGAGTAGCAGCTTCCTGTAGTCAATTCCAGCGCTTTGAAAGGCCGAAGCAAGCGGAAGGATAAAAAGTTAGAGACCAGCCCGGGTAATTTCGCGAGACCCTGTCTCAAAATAAAAAAATAGAAAAACAGTGGGGATGTAGGTTCAGTAGTCCCTGGTTTCAATCCGTACTACCGAGTCGGGCTGGGGAAACAGAAAATATCAGAACTTGGGGCGTCCCTCAAGCTGCCTGGCGGCAAGACGCCCTCCACACGGCCCAGGGCGTGTACCTCTATGCAGTCACAGCTCAGGGATTTCCAGCTGCTGGTTGCAGAACTAGAGCTCTCTCCAAGAAGCTATTGTATACTCGTTCCAGCTCGGACATAGATGATCTTGGTTTTTCTTTGACAGTGAAAAGGGTCAGCACTATTCTCTTTACTCTGGATTTGTGTGAGTAGTGGTTGTGAGTAGGGCAGTTGTGGTCCTGGCGTTGTGCCCCCAATTTAACCAGGCTGGGTTGGGCGCCTAGAGTAAACCAGACATGCCGAATCCTCTCTCTCCCCACGCGAGCCAATCATCCCAGCAACCCATATATTTAGGTTTAATTGCAGTGTTCACACTTTGCAATAAATAAGTTTTGGGTTGTAGTTTGGACACTGTCTCTAAAAGGTTCACCATCACTGACGTAATTATTGAAATTTCCTTCCTTCTCAATTCTGCCGAATGTTTTTCTCCCCCGGTTCTGGGGATTGAACCCAGGGCCTTCATACCTGGGCTTCATTTGCAGCAGCCCCTCCCCCCGTCTGTGTGTGATCAAAAGGAAAAGTCTTTTAAATTCAAGATACTTTGGTAGTTCTGAGCCCTGTCTCTTCACCTAGTGTTATTTTCCTTTCCCAGCTCTGGCCTCTGCAAAGTCTGCTTCTGGCAAACAAACCCCGAGGAGGACTGACCCGTTCTTGGATTTCTAAATTATGGCCTGTGTAAGTTACTGTTTATTTGCTTCTGGAAATATTATCATGTTAAGATCCTAGAAATATTCCTTTATCTTGAAATTTCTTACCTATCAGAGCTTTCTCCCAGGACCTTCTTCCAGTTCTTCCAAATCTAGGAAGGGATAAAGCTAAGTAACACATTGCCTATCTTTTTTTTTTTTTTTTGGTACCGGGGATCAAACTCATGACCACGTGATTGCAAGGCTTATGCTGCTGAGCTAAATCCCCAGCCTGTCCATCTATTTGTTGAACAAATTATTCAGCATCTCCTGTATGTGCTGAGTCTTCTGCCAAAAGCTACAATGAAATAGAAGTGAAATCACTTGAGATATTTGACCATTCTTTTTGAGTTAAAAAAAAAAAAAGGATGGGTCCATTTAATTACTCATAGGAAAACTGAACTTTTTTACACTTGAATGTATGTATGTATGTATGTATTTATTTATTTGGTATCAGGAATCAAACTCACGACCTAGCGCTTGCCAGGCCGGCACTCATGCCACTGAGCTAAATCCCTGGCCCTATACTTGAATTTTACAGGTATATAAGATTTGCTGTTGATTGGTCCAAGACTCTTAACTAAAGAGTGTGTTTCGTGAAACTTTTAGTATTGAGTTGGGATGCAGCTGGGTCTTGCAAAGAGAGATTCTCTAAGATTTGCATATCGGTAACAAGGTTCCGTTTATAGCTAAACAGGATGTACTGGTTTACAATATATTTCTGATTCTGAATCATGGTACATTGGTACATTCGACTTTAGAAACAAAAAATGCATCTATTTACAGGTAAAAATGATAGCAGTTGAGAAAATAATCCAGATATGTCAGTAATCATTTGGATTCATTCTTTTTTTTTTTTTTTTTTTTTTTTGGTACTGGGGATCAAACTTGCGACCTTGCACTTGCCAAGTAGGCGCTTGTGCCATCATATAGATTCAGAATTGAGGACCACCTTAAGGTTATGGTCAACCAAAATATCTACAGAAAAATGGTTAAGCCTCATTGTATGTACTAGTAGAATCAATTAAAAAATTCATTAGAAAAATCTGTCATGAATGTGGTGGAGCACACTTGTAATCCCAGATACTTGGCTAATTGAGCCAGAAGGAATGCAAATTTGAGGCTAGTCTGGATAATTTAGCAAGATTCTACCTCAAAAAAAAAAAAAAAAAGGCCAGGGATTTAGCTCAGTGGCTCAAGCACTTTCCTGGTAAGCACAAGGTCATGAGTTTGATTTCCAGTACAAAAAAAAAAAGTGGTGGGAGGCTGGGGATGTAGCTCACACTCTCTGGGTTCATTCCCCAGTATTAAAAAATCTGAAAAGAAAAAGTACGTATGATCTGCTTCTACAATAAATTGGGAAGGAATTCTTTAAATGTGTTCAGATCCTTTTTTTTTTACCTCCCCCACCCCCCCACTGGGGATCGAACTCAGATCACTTGCTTACAAGGCAGGTGCTTACACCACTGAGCTAAATCCCCAGCCCCCAGATCCTTTTCTAAGACAGAGTTAGGGGGGATGCTTTTTGAAAATAGCTCCTCTTAGGACCAGGTATTATGGCGCATGACTGTAATTCCAGGACTTGAGAGGTTGAGGCAGGAGAATCGTTGCAAGTTCTTGGGCTTCATAGTGAGTTCAGTGCCCGCCTGAATTACATAAAGAGACCTTATCTCAAAAAAAAAAAAAAAAAAAAAAAAAAAAGATCTGTTCTTAGCCAGATGTTGTGCCGCCACACACTTGTAATTCCAGCACTTGGAAGGCTGAAGCAGGAGAATCACTTGCAGTTTGAGGTCAGCCTGGGATACATAATGAGTTCAAGGCCAGCTCAGACTACCTAGTGAGACTGTCTGTCAAAAACAAAACAATAAATTTTGAATGTGGTGTTGCATGCCTGTAATCCCAGCATTTTGGTGGGCTAAGGTGGGAGGGTCACAACTTCAAGCTCAGTCTGGGCAATTCAGCAAATTAGCAATACCCTGTCTCAAAAATAAAAAATTAAAAAAGGGTTGGGGATGGATGTTGCTCAGTGTGAGGGCCTTGGGTTCAGTCCCCAGCACCACAAAATAAATAAAATAAAAATCTGTTCTTCAAGAAGACAGAAGTAGAATTTACATTTCTTGATAATTTGTGAGGTAAACGTATAGCATGAAGAAGTTTTAACACTATTTCATTTAATAGTAAAATGATTATTTTTTTTCTTTCCCACACATATTTGGGTTACTGAGGTATGCTAGGATGTATAGATGCCTGTGTCTGTAACAGCAGGATCCTTGAATCTTTCAGGTACACTCATTTTTTGGGGGGGAAGTACTGGGGATCCAACTCACGACCTCACACTTGCGCTTATGCAGGTGCTTATGCCACTGAGCTAAATCCCCAGCCCCACACTCATTTTCTAACTAGCTATGTTACACCGTTGTAACTCAAGCATGTTTGCTTGCTATAATCTATTTCTTGCAATACTTCCTCCATATTTTCTCATTCATATTTAAAAAAATTTATTTCACTTGTAATATATGGTTTGTTGTTTCAGGGATCAGTGATGTTCAGTGATGTATCCATAGTCTTTTCTCAAGAAGAGTGGGAATATCTAGATTTGGAACAGAAGGACTTATATAAAGATGTGATGATGGAGAACTATAGCAACTTGGTCTCACTAGGTAAGGTTCTGTGCCTTTAGTATTTAGTGTGTATTCTTTGTAATAATAGCTTTCTTCTCTGAAAAGTTTTTTTTTTTTCAGGAAAGTATCTGAATTTTTGCTCCCTGTTCCTAAGGGAATAGTTTGAACTTTATTTCTTTGGAAGAGAGCATTTTCATTGAATATATTCATCTTCTGCATCCTTAATTAACTGATGAAGCGGTTAGATTTGAAATATAGGTGATTTATGACCTTATCAGTATCAAAGAAAACAAAGATTACTTTGTTTTTGAACTCAAGAGTTGCTTTGGATGTTTTATTACTTGTTGTATACCTGTAAGGAAAATAGCTAAACTCTTTCTTGGTTTTTCTCTATCAAAAGGCCACGTGTGCTTGAGATGTGGCTCAGTGGGTAATGTACTTTGTAGCATGTAATAGACCCTAAGATCAATCCCCAGCACCACAAAAAAATAAAAATTTTTAAAAAAAATTTTAAAAAGAACATAGGTACTTGATATACTGGTAAGTTGCATTACCAAGATTTATTTACAATTTAAGATAATTCATTACTTTGCTTAAAAAACAAATATATTTAGTTTTTGGTTTTTTTCCCCCCTCTGTGATACCAGGGATTGAACTCATGACCTCACGCTTAGCAGGCAGGCACTTACACCACTGAGCTAAATTCCCAGTCCTTAGTTTTATTTAATTATTGAAAATTAAAAGTTCAGGGCTGGGGATTTAGCTCAGTGGCATAAGCGCCTGCCTTGGAAGCAGGCAGTCGTGAGTTCGATCCCTGGTACCGATAAAAAGGAAAAAAGACAAAAAAAAAAAAAAAAAAGTTCAAGAATTTTTCTTTTTTTTCAGAGTCTCACTATGTGGAAATCAGGCTGGCTTTAAACTCATTATGCAGAGCAGGCTGGCCTTACACTTACAGTGATCCCACTACCTTACTGGAATTACAGGCATGCATCACCATACCTGTCAAACTTTGCTTTTAGTAGTGCATTAATAGCCTAAGAAATTAGAGTAGGGCTGGGACGTAGGTCAGTGGCCCAGTGCCAGCTTGGCAAGCACAAGACCCTGAGTTTGATTTCTAGTACCAAAAAAAGAAAAAAAATAATAATAAATATTTTTAGGGAAGCTTCTTGTTTTTCTTTCAGCAAAATAACAACTAAGAGCTAATAAAATATATCTACTACTCTCAGACAGTGTTAGGTAGAGAGACACATTAATGCAGTCTGTATAAATGGCACTTTTGCAAGGGGGTATACTGGGTATCAAACACAGAGATTTTATACTATTAAGCTACATTCCCTGCCCTGTTTTAAATTTTTAGTTTTGAAACAGAATCTTGCTAAGTTGTCCAGGGTGGCCTTCAATTTGGTGATCCTCCTGCCTCCCAGGTAGCTGGGATTACATGACCAATGTACTCAGCAGATAGGCACTCTTATTGTCATTGTTTTATAGATGAGGGAAATGAAGCATGGAAGTACCTCATTTTGGATTATGTAACTGTGGTGTGGCAGAGGCAGGATTTGAACCACATAGTCTATGATCTTAACCACTATTTTCTCTGAAGAAAGAACACTCATATTAGTATGATTTTAAAAGATCTTTTCTATCTATTTACTGTATTATCTTCATGTGAACATTTTGAAACCTTTTATCAGTTGTCATTTTAATCTATTGTGTATTACAAATGTAATCAGAATGAACCAATAAAATTTCTAATTATTCTCCCTAAGCAGGATGTTTCATATCTAAACCAGATGTGATTTCCTTACTGGAGCAAGGAAAGGATCCCTGGAAAGTTATGAGGAAAGGAAGAAAACGATATTTAGGTGAGTGAGGGCCATTCAAGCTAAGGGAATCACCCAGCTAGTTGGGGAAAAGGCACAACTTTATGATATTTAGAAAAAACATTTTTGGACTGGGGATATAGCTCAGCAGTTCAGCGCCTGCCTGGCAAGCATAAAATCATGAGTTTGATCCCTGGTACCAAAACAAAATGAAACAAAACCAAACAACAACAAAAAGAAAACCATTTTTAAAAGTCCTTTACCCAGGGGCCAGGGATTTAGCTCAGCACCTGCCTTGCAAGCACACAGTAGTGAGTTTGATCCCCAGTACCAAAGAGAAAAAAAAAAAGTCCTTTGCCCAAAGGCAAATATCCTAGACCAGGGAAGCAAATAAAGACTTGACTGGGCCTACTAAAAAAAGCTACTATACTATTTTGTTGTTCTTTCTAATTTTTCTCATCTTGAAAGGGGTAGTGATGGAAGGTATTCTCTCTGTTCATTATTAACCATGATTCCATTTTTTATTCTTTTGCATTGATAGATGGATGGATGAATAGATAACCTCTGAGCTGGGTACTATTACAACTTCAATACAATGGTAAACAAAATCAATACAACTCTTGTCTCCATAGAATTTACTTTGTGATGAAAAAATCTAACAATTATAAATAAATAGAAATTAGAATATTAGGTAATAAAAGAATGCGCTAAAGAAAAATCAGCAGAATAAGGAGATAGAGAATGTTGTGGGATGGGAGAGCTATTTTACTTATGATCAGGGAATAATTCGTTTTTCCCACTTTGTTCATAAAATTTTAGTGGTAGTTTTTTGCTTTTTTCAGAAAATTTTAGAAGGATATATGCATGGTATTATAATAATATATATTTTATCAACAACTTAAGTTTTTAAAAAAAATTTTATTAGTACTGTACTTGTTTGCAGTTCACACAGTTTATAATCATCTTGGGGAGTGATTACCTATACATACCACAGCTTGTTTTTTTCAATTTCCTCCCCTTCCCTTCCTCCCTCCTCCAAATCACCTATCCAATTTTTCATTCTTTTTGCTATTACAAATCTTAGCTCATGTTATGGCATATAATGTTTACATTATCGGCGATTACTAGGTTCCTGTAACAGCAAATCTTTATTCTGCTTATTTCCTCCTCACCCCTTGTGCTTTTTCCCTTGGACCACTTTCCTATTGCAGGAGATGTCTTTTATTATTCTCTTTGTTTATACTTTACCTCATTCAAATGAGACACCATATGGTATTTAAGCTTATGTGTTTGCTTTATTTCACTAAACATATTTTACAGGTACATCTATTCTACAAATGTTTCAAATCTGTCATTCCTTGTAGCAGAATAGTATCCCAATATATATAGATAATACATTTTCTTTATCCAGTCATCTGTTGATGAGTATATAGGCTGTTTCCAGGAGTTAGCTATTAGAATTGTGGTGCTATAAATATTGGTAGGTAGGTATCATTGTAGTAATGATGTCTTAAGCTCTTTGGGAAATATATACCAAGCAGAGGGATCACTGTGTCATATGGAATATATAATCTCGGTTCTTTAAAAATCTCTATACTGATTTCCATAGTGGTTGTACTAGTTTACATTCCCACCAACGATGAAGGCCTCACCCCAGCATTTGTTATTGTTTGATTTCTTAATAATTTTCTTTTTTGGCTGGGGATTTAGCTCAGCAGCATAAGCGCCTGCCTTGCAAGCGTGCAGTCGTGAGTTCGATCCCTGGTACCAATAATAAAAAAAAAATTTTCTTTTTCTGGAGTAAGATAGAATCTTAGTTTTGTTTTAATTTGCATTTCTCTATGCCAGAAATGTTGAACATTTTTTCATATATTTGTTCATTTTTCTTACTCATTTCTTGACAGGATCTTATTAGTAATTTTAGGTAATTTAATATTTTTAGAGTTATCTATTCTAAATATTAGTTTTCTGTCTGAAGTGTAGCTGGCAAAATTTTTTTCTCATTCTGTGGGTTGTCCCTTCATGCTACTCATTGTTTTGCAAAAAGCTAATATAAAAAGGCTGATATAATCACATTTTTTGATTCTTTCTGTTATTTCTTGAGCAATAGAGATTCTTTTTAGAAAATTCTTTTCTATGTTTTCAAGTGTTTTACCTATTTTATCTTCTAGTAGGTTTAATGTTCTTGTTTTAATGTTTAGATCTTTCCTCCATTTTAATTTTATTATGTGGTAAGACATAAGGGTTCAGTTTCAGTCATCAGCACACAGATAACCAGTTTTCCTAGGACCACCTGTTGAATAAGCTGTTCTTCCTTCAACATATGCTTTTGGTGCCTTTGTTGATGATCAAATAGTTGAATGTGTCTTAGGAAATTCCCATATCCTCAATTCTGTTCCATTAATTTATGTATCTGTTCTTATTCCAGTACCATGCCATTTTTTATCACTATTGCTTTTAGTATAGCTTGAAGTCAGGTAATCCTATGCCTCCCACTTGGCTCTTGCCTAAAATTGCTTTTGCTGTTCTGGTAAAAATGAATTTTAGGATTTTTTTCCCCTAGATCTGTAAAGTATGCTGTTGGTATTTTCATTTGGACTGTATTGAATCTGTGAAACAGTTTTTTTGTTTTTTGTTTTTTGTGTTTTTGAGACAGGATCTCGCTATGCAGTTCAGGCTGGCCTTGAGCTCACTTTGTAGTCCAGGCTGGTCTTGAACTTGCAATGATCCTCCTGCCTCAGCCTCCCAAGTGCTGGGATTACAGGCATGAGCCACCACGCCCGGCTTAACAGTTTTGAGAGTATGGCCATTTTGTTTATATTGCCAGAAGCAGGGGACATCTTTCCATTTTCTTTTCATCCTCCCCCACCCTTTCTTTTTGAGACAGCATCTCACTATGTAACCCATGCTGGCCTCAAACATATAGCAAGCCTCCTCCTGTCTCAGCCTTCTGAGTGCTGAGATTACAGGCATGAGCCACCATGGCCAGCATCTTTTCATTTGCTTTCTTTTTTTTTTTTTTTTTTTTGGTCTTTTTCGTTTTTATTGGTACCAGGGATCGAACTCATGACTGCCTGCTTGCAAGGCAGGTGCTTATGCCGCTGAGCTAAATCCCCAGCCGCCATCTTTTCATTTTCTGATATCATCTTCAGTCTCTGTAGTCTTTCACTTTCTTAGGTTAATTCGTAGATATTTCAGTTTTCTTGAAGCTACTGTGAATGGTATTCTCATAATTTCCTTTTACTTCTATTTATTATTGATGTACATAAATGCTAATGTTTTGTATATTGATCTTGTATCCTGCTACACTGCTAAATTTTACTATTCTAAGAATTTTTTGGTAAGTTTTTTGGGTCTTTTCTGTAGAGTATCATGTCATACTATTAGTAATGTTAATTTCAGTTCTTCCTTCCCTTTATGTATGCTTTTTTATTTCTTTCTCTTGCCTAATTGCTTTGGCTTTACTGTGTTGAATAGAAGAGGTAATAGTGGACATTCTTGTCTTGTTCCTGACAAGAATTTAGAGGGAATGCTTTTAGTTTTTCTCCATTTCGTATGATGCTGGCTATTCGTTTGTCATGCATAGCTTTTATCATATTCAGGTGTGGTCCTTTTATATTTGTTTTCTTTAGGTTTTTTTTTATCATGAGTTGTTGTTAGATTTTGTCAAAAGCCTTTTATGTATCTACTGATAAGATCATGTGATTTTTGTCCTTGCTTATGTTTATATGATGTGTTATATTCATTGACATTTATGAGTATTGGACTATCCTTGCATCTCTGAGATGAAACCTGTTTGATCGTGATGTATGATCTTTTTGATGATGTGCTGCATTCTATTTGCTAGTATCTCATTAAGGATTTTTGTGTCTGTCTTCATTAAGGAGACTGGCCTGTGGTGTTTTTTTTTTCAGTTGGGCCTTTATCTGGTTTTGGGATCAATGTGATACTGGCTTTCATAAATAAATTGGGGAGCACTCAATCCCTTTTGATTACTTTGAAGAGCTTGAAGAATATTGATGACACAACATCCTTAAAGGTTTTGTAGAATTCTTCAGGTCTTGGGTTTTTTTAGTTGATACATTTTTTATTACTCTGCTAATTTCATTGATTATTATTGTTGTTAAGCATATTTGTGTTTTCTTGGATTAATTTTGATAGTTTATATGTGTCTAGGAGTCTGTTTATTTCTTCAAAATTTACTAATTTGTTGAAATACAATACCTTCTGGATTTTCCCAGTGTCTGTTATTTCACCTTTTTCATTTCTAATTGCATTGACATCCTTTTTGACTGTCTTGGTAAGTTAGCTATTTTATTTGCTCTTTCGAAGAACCAGCTCTTTAATTCATTGATTTTTTTTTTTAGCTGTTTTTGTTTGTTTTAGTCTCAGTTTTATTCATTTCCAGTCTCATTTTTATTATTTCCCTCCTTAATTTCAGTTTGTGGCTGGTTTGTTATTTCTCAAGTATCTTAAGATTTCTCATAAGATTATCTATTTGAGTTTGCTCTGTTTCCTAATGTGAACATTGATTGTGGCAAATGTTCCTCTTAGAATGGCTCGCTTTGCTTTGCTTTTTTTCTTTTCCCTTTCCTTTTTCTTCTTTCTTTCACTCATTCTTGCTTGCTTTCTTGCTTTTTGCTTGTTTTGTTTTGTTTTGTTGAGATAGAGTTTCACTATGCAGTTCAAGCTGGCCTTGAACTCACTTTGTAGCCCAGACTGGTCTCAGACTTGCAAAGATCCTCTTGCCTCAGCCTCCGAAGTGCTAGGATTACAGGTATGCATGACCATACCTGGCTTTCAACTACTGTCATATATCCCAGAGGTTTTGGAGAGTTAGCATCCTTGACATTAACTGCTAGAAATTCTTTAATTTCTTCTGTGACCCATAAGGATTATATTGTTAATTTTTGCTTTTTCCTAAGTTTCTTTTGTCATTGATTTCTACTTTCATTGCACAGCAGTCTAGTAGTATGCATGGGCTAATTTCTGTTCTTTTATATAGATTCACTAGCGTGAAATTATCCACCCAGGATTATTCCTATGCAATTAAACCGGCTACAGGCTAATCTGTTACAGTGCTTTATCTAGGCAAGTTGAGAAATAACATACCATGCTGGACATGATAGTACATTCCTGTAATCTCAGCATTTTGGAGGCTGAGGCAGGAGGATCATTGTGGGTTTGAGACCAGTCTGGGCTACAGAGTGAGTTCAAGGCCAGCTCAAACTGCCTAGTGAGACCTGTCTCAAAAACAAAACAAAACAAATCACAAATCCCTCTTTTGAGTCTCCCTTATCCTGGGGAAGAAATTCATTATTATGCTGTAAAAATCTTTTTTTCTTTTCCGTACGGGGAATCAAGCTCAGGATCTTCAACTTGCCAGGCAGTTGCTTATACTGCTGAGCTATATCGCCAGCCTACAACCCCAGTCTTGATCCATAGTTAATGGCTATGTCTTCTCTAATGGTGAAAAATGGCATTTAACAGTAATTTTTATAGAATCAGTTATGTAAAGCTCAGGGGTTGGGGACTGGGTAATGTCAGAGGAGGGAATTAAAGAGAAAAAAGTTGGGGTTTTTTTTTGTTTGTTTGTTTTGTCTTTTTCCTTTTCATCGGTACCAGGGATGGAACTCACGACTGCCTGCTTGCAGGGCAGGCACTTATGCCACTGAGCTAAATCCCCAGCCCCTAAAAAAAGTTGGTTTTTTAAAGTTGTCTGCTGCCTGCCTGGCAAGTGCAGTCATGAGTACCAAAATAAATGAAAGTCGTCTGCTGTGTAGTATGGGAAGAAGGAATTTAGACATAGGATAAATGATCCTAATGATGGCCAGGGTATATTATATATTTACAAAGGGATAATGGAAAACTGGGCACAAAATTAATAGTGAAAAATGGGGATGGGAAAAGATTCTGTGACTGATATAAATATTAGAGACAAAGTTAAAGAGAGACAATTGATAAGGGAGAGAGGAAAGAAAAGAAAAACTGAGAATGAATAAGACACAGGGGAAAGAAGTCAGGTGAAGGGGACAAGGGAGAATTCCCTTACCCTCAGTAAACTCTACTGGGAAAAAAGGCAAGAAGGAGATAAGCACATACACACACAGAGTCACTCTCATAATTCTTTTATGAGGATAAAGTAATGAAACAAAAGTTGTGGGAGAAAAATGTGCAGAAGGAGAAAAGCAGCATTAAAAATACAAATGAAAAATAGTACAATCAGGGAATAGTATAAGAAAATTTTGTATTGTTTTGACTCTCCTTAGCCTACTTTAACATTTTTATAATATATGATACTGGATTTTTCAGTGTAATGTTTTATAGAAAATCATACAGTTTTTGTTTTGTGAGCCATTTTCATTTAGTACAATATCTTTTTATAAAAACTGGAGTTTTTTCTTTTTTTACCCAATGGAAATAGAATTTGGATTTGGATGACCTGTCTTTAAAGCTTTAGTAGCTCTTTTTTTTTGATGTGTGTAGCAATACTGGAGTTTAAACCCAAGGCCTTTATATAAGCTATAGCCTCACCCTTTTCTTTATTTCTTATCTTGAGACAGAGTCTTATTAAGTCACAAAGTTGCCCAGTTTGGGCTTATACATACATTCTTCTGCTTCAGTCTCCCAGAGTACTGGGATTGCAAGAATGTGCCACCACCACTAGCCTTTATAGAAACCTTTTAAAAGCTTTTTCCTAGGAGCCATATGTGGTGGCCCATGCTATAATTCCTCTACAGTGTTGAAGAAAGCTAAGGCAAGGTAAGTGCAAGTCTTGCCATGAGTTTAGTGAGACCCTGTTTCAAAGTTTAAAAAGAAAAGGGCTGAGGATGGATGTCAGTGGTAGTATCCCTGGGTTCAAGCCCCAATGCTATTGCAAGGAAAGGGAAATAACTTTCTTCTGGGGAAGCAAATGATAAGTCTGTACACATTCTCCAACACATTCCAGTTTTTGGAAATTTGTTGGTTTAAACATGATAACCTGGATGTAGTGGTGCACACCTGTGATCCCAGCACTTGGGAGACTGAGACAAAAAGATGACCACAAGTTCAAGGCCAGCCTGGACCACCTAGTGAGTTCAAAGTGAGCCTGAGCTACATATGGAGACCCTATCTCAAAAAATGGAGATACATCTTCAGTGATCAGTTACATATTCCTAGAAAAATAATCCATGTTAGCTGTGTTTTAAAAGTTATTGCAGTCATCTAGATGGTTTAGGTCATGTTTAAACTTATGTATTCGTAATAAGTTCCCCAGTGATTCTGACCCACACATCACTGTGAGACCCACTATCTTAAAAATGTTTTCTTAATTGACAATCTCCTGTAGTTATACACACTCACATTTTTCCCTTTGCCTTTTTTCTTTTTTAAAAAATTATATAGCATTCAAGTTCAGTTAACTATTATTTTTGCTGTCTTTTATTTATTTCTCTTTTTTTTGTATCAGGAATCAAACTCCTACCCTTGTACTTGCTAGGCAGGTGTTGTGCTACAGAGCTATATCCCTGTCATTGTCTTTTATTTCAGCCATAGAAATTTTACTCCTTTTAGAAAAAGAAAACAATGTACATTTGCTTTTTTTGTTTTTTTTCAGGTGTGAAGACTAGTTATGAGACCAAGAAATTATTTTCAGAAAATAACATTTATGAATTAAATTTATCCCAGTGGAAGATAATGGAAAGAATAAAAAACCATGGCCTTAAGGGTCTCCTCTTGAAAAATGACTGGGAGTCCAAAAGAAAATTTGAAGGACAAGAGGGACCTCCAGAGAATTATTTCAGTCAAGTAAAGGCTATATCTGAAAAAGTATCCTCTTACCAAAAGCACACATCTGTTACCCCACTTCAGAAGATTCATTTTGTGGAGAAACCCTATGAATGTAAGGAATGTGGGAAGGCTTTCAGAGTGCGTCAACAACTTACTTTTCATTACAGAATTCATACTGGTGAAAAACCTTACAAATGTAAGGAATGTGGGATGGCTTTTAGGCAGACTGCACACCTTACTCGACATCAGAGACTTCATTCTGGTGAAAAACTTTATGAATGTAAGGAATGTGGGGAAGCTTTCATATGTGGTCCTGACCTCAGAGTACATCAGAAAATTCATGTTGGTGAGAAGCCCTATGAATGTAAAGAATGTGGGAAAGCCTTTAGAGTGCGAGGACAACTTACTCTCCATCAGAGGATCCACACTGGTGAAAAACCTTATGTATGTAAAGAATGTGGGAAGGCCTTTAGACAATATGCACACCTAACTCGACATCAGAAGCTTAATATTGCTGACAGACTCTATGAGTGTAAAGAATGTGGAAAGGACTTTCTGTGTGGCTCTGGCCTTCGAGTACATTATAAACTTCATACTGGTGAGAAACCCTATGAATGCAACGACTGTGGGAAGTCCTTTAGAGTACGACAACAACTAACTCTCCATCAGAGAATTCATACTGGTGAGAAGCCCTATGAATGTAAGGAATGTGGAAAGACTTTTAGTCGTGGTTATCATCTAATTCTCCATCACAGAATTCACACTGGTGAGAAACCTTACGAATGTAAGGAATGCTGGAAGGCCTTTAGCCGTTACTCACAACTTACTTCACACCAGAGTATTCATATTGGTGTTAAACCTTATGATTGTAAGGAATGTGGAAAGGCTTTTAGACTTCTGTCACAACTTACACAACATCAGAGTATTCATATTGGTGAGAAACCCTATAAATGTAAGGAATGTGGGAAGGCCTTTAGGTTGCGCCAAAAGCTTACTTTACATCAGAGCATTCATACTGGTGAAAAACCTTTTGAGTGCAAAGAATGTAGGAAAGCCTTTAGGCTTAATTCATCTCTTATTCAACATCTAAGAATTCATTCTGGTGAAAAACCGTATGAATGTAAAGAATGTAAGAAAGCCTTTAGACAACATTCACACCTTACCCATCATCTGAAAATTCATAATGTAAAAATATAAGAAAGTCTAGTCAGTCTTATGAACATTGTATGAATATAATAATCTCTTTTGCTTCACAGGTGTTTCGATTAGGCAAAGACATTTTATGCCATTGAAGGAGTGTTAATGTATTCTTTCATTCATACTTGAAGTTTCAGCACATTAGTTAAACTAATTATATTAATATAACAGATGTGGGAAAGGTACTTATCTCTGTTCTGTCACTTTCCTACTTGTGTTATATTAAATAAGACACTTAAAACGATGATATAAAACTGTGACAAAAATGGATGGAAATTCTTTGACATTCTTTCCATCAAGGGACGGAATCTGCATCCCTTCCTTTTTTTTTTTTTTTGTCTTTTTCATTTTTATCGGTACCAGGGATCGAACTCACAACTGCCTGCTTGCAAGGCAGGCGCTTATGCCGCTCAGCTAAATCCCCAGCCCCCTACATCCCTTCCTTTGAGTATGAGCAGACTGTGATTGCTTTCTCCAATGGAATATAGTAGGAATACTGCTATGCTAGTTTCTGGGCACTAAACTATATCCTCAGTTTTTAAAATTTATTTATTTATTTAATTTTATTTTAAGAGAGAGTCTTACTAAGTTTCCCAAGCTAGCAATTTGCCCAAACTTGCAATCCTCCTGCCTCAGCCTCCCAGAATGTTGGGATCACAGTGGCCAGCCTACCTGGCTTGGGGTTACTTTATTCCTTGAACTACTTTCTAAGCCCTAAACTTTCATGTAAAAAAGTCTGACTGCTTTGCTGAGGAGCCCACATACAGAGGCTCTGAAACTACATAGACAGGGTGAGGCAACTTGCTGTACCTAGTCTTCCAAACATACCCAATAAAGCATCAAACATGTAAATAGAACAGTTTTGGATCCTCCAGATCAGCCACCAGTTGAACATTGCTGAGTGATCTTAACTGACACCGTATAGAACAGAAGAATTAGTAACTGTGTCTCTTCACAGCAGCCTGCTGTCTCCTGTTGAGCCAACTTCTTTTTCTATTTTTACTTGCCCCAAACTTGCTCTACAGAACTTGTTTCTTTTCTTATCTTTAATAACTGTAAAACTTTGCTGCCATTAAAAAGGAAAAAGAACAGAAGAATCAACCAGCTGTTGCTCTGCTCAAGTTCCTGACATACAGTCATAAAATAATGGTAAAATGTTTTTTAGGCAAGTACATTGTGCTTTACTATCATCTCCCTAATGTTACACTTTGAATTCTTGTGGAAGACTATAGGTGTCAGGAATATAGAAATGGCTTCCACCAACATTTATTGCTTATTGAACTTCAGAAATCTTTCTGAAATATTAAAAGTGTGAAATTCTTTTTCAATTTAATTGAAAATATATTCAATCTATATTGTATAGTCCCATTCAATATTAAAAATTAACAAAATATAACTTAAAAGGAAACTATTTGGAAATTAAAATTAAAAGTAATTAAAATTATAACTCATTATCTTTTTAAAACAACTCTATTATGATTTTTTAAAAATGCCGTATTGTCCTATCTTTGGCTAATGAGAATCACCTCATTGGCATTGATGTTATGTGTCCTTTTATCATCACCACTATATATACTGAAAGCTTTTTTTTTTTTGAGACAGAGTCTCGTGTAGTTCAGGCTGGCCTTGCATTAACTCTGTACGCCAGGCTGGCCTCAAACTTACAGAGGTCCTCCTGCCTCATCCTCCCAGTGGGATTATAGGTGTGTGCCAACACACCCAACAATTTTTTTTTAAATCAATGCATTGATCAGCTATGAAACACACTTTGGTGTTACTGATAGAGGGAAAGAATGGAACATTTATCTTGCCTTCTGTATTCCAAAACAACCAGAAGGTGATTAAATAAAATTCTCTATTTGAACATTCTAGCAAATTAGGGTTAGAGGGTGATACAATTTGAAAATTACACTTTGGATTTATAAAGTAATGGGTCTTAGTGATGGTGCCAATAGATTGAAAGATCATAGGTAAAAAATTGACAGGAAGCTTATAACGAGGGGAGCAGAGCGATAGTTTCTGCCAGTCTATATTAATACCCCTAAATTAGATCAACTACACTATACACTTCTTGTGGTAATGCAGTCAATGTACAGAGCATCTCCTATGAAATATTCTTGCCAAAAAATATTGACTGAATTACAATTGAATTCCTCAATCTAATTACCAGTTAACAGGATATATGTAGATTTAAGAAAAAACTAATGACAGAAAGAAACAAACAGCCACATCCAAAATTTGGGAAATTTTATTGAAATAATACTCTTATTTTCTAACTAAATACACATCTACAAAGTTAAAACCCTAATCCTACTGAGGTACCTTATTACTGACTAACTGGTTCTAGGAGGTGGCAACCCATACCAAAAGCAAGGAATACCAAACTGGGCTTTGAAGAGTAGCAGGTCACAAGGCAATCAATCAGCAGCACAAGTTATAGCTTGCATATCAAGCATCAAAGTATGAGTACTGGAACAAAAGTTTTAATGGGTTTCAAAACTCATCAAAACATAGAATACTAAGGGATAACTGCATATGGAGCATGTTGGAATCCTGTGTTTAAAAAATGTACTTGGAGCTGGGTGTGGTGGTGCATGCCTGTAATCCTAGTACTCTAGAGGCTGAAGTAGAATTGCCTCAAGTTTGAGGCCAGCCTGAATAACAGAATGCGACTGTCTCAAAAAATCAAAAATCAAAACAAATTTTAAAATAAATGTACGTGGCATATTCTTTAATCAGGCAACACAGGCAGACAGAGAAATGATTATCATGAAAAAAGTTTATACTCCATTCCCTAGAAATAGATGCAGCTTGCCATATAGGGCCATGTAGGAAAATGCTCAAGTCTCCCTGAGAGCAAAAGTGGAGGGCAGAGCTCAAAGCCTGTGTCAGGAATTTTGTGAGAATGGGCAAGGGAGAGTAGGCACACTAAGTTTAGGATTGGATGGTTTGAATGATTTTGGAAGGCTCTAGGTTTTGGGGTGGTTTAGGGCAGGGGGAATGGTGATAAAAGTATATGGGTTTGATAAAAGAGATGGTGAGGTATAGATACTCTGTATTAATAGTAAAGGCCTGTACACAGTGAAGTTATTTGTTACCAGTAGATTAACTTGCCCTATGAAAGGCCATCAGTTTGAGATCATGGCCCCAGATGCCAGAGTCTTAAGGAAACCAAAATATAGGCAATACAGCCCTGATTGATATAAATACATGAAAACATTTTAAATATTGTGGGAACATAGACTGAGTATTAAGTGATACTAAGAAGTGAATTGTTTGTTACATTGGGCAGGATGATGAGATTATGGGTATGTGTGTAAGTCTTTATGTTATGGACCTGTGCTGAAGTATAGAGTGAAATTATGTATGCCCCATGATTTGCTTTAAAATACAGTCAAGTACCATATAATGATGTTTTAGCCAGCAATTAGCCACTGTACTACAATGGCCCCATGAGGTTATATCACCTATTGATATTATATCTATCTTAGTGTGTTAAAATACACGCTATAGGTGAAATAAGATTGGCAAAATGTTGCTAAGTATTGAATACAGATAATGGATACAGAGTTCCTTGTGTATTTTTACTACCTTTACATTTGAAAATTTCCATAAACTTTTTAAGGTTAAAAATGAAATCTAAAGTTTTAGATTATTTAATGATTAATAATAATGTGTTACCTACAGATTTTTATTTGTAGAAAATAACCAAAATTCCAGTTGGTAGAAAACTTACAACATTGTGTTTAGAAAGCATAGTTTGAGGAACCATTATTTGTCTTGTTTACCACCACGTATCCCCTCTACAATGCCTGTCACTTAAGAGGCAATTAATAAATATGGTTAAAAAAAAACAGGCATTATGTTAAGGCAGAAGATAATTGAAAAGTAAAAGAAAATACTTAAGGTAAGCAGCAGAAAGTAATTTTTATGATAAGTATAATTGATAAGATGATAGTGGTTTTCAGCCAAGGATGTTTTCCTTGAAGAGACCATTATACAGAATTAGCAGTTGTTAAGGAAAAATATTGTGGGAATATTTATATATATATATAATATATATTATATCCCACAATTATAACTTTATATGTGCAAAAAGTGAGATTATAAAGATTTAAGTAACATGTTACCATATAATATTTCAATATATATAAAGTCATACAGAAAATGAAGTTATTCAAAGAAGCATAAAAATTACTCAGGTTTATTCAAGATACTCCCGAAAGCCTGAACAGATCTATAAATAAAGGACAAAATTTAAATGTAGTTATGACCTACATTGAATTGATAGTTTTTCAGGCAATAAAAATTATCAGATCATGCTATCAGATAAATATCCCAGTAATAAAAGTAGATGAGGATCCCCCTAAAAGCAAATTCTGAACATTTCATTTAGAATGCACCTGTACACTCGCAGTAAATATCAGTAAATTGAACTTGGTCATCTGTTAGAACAATTAATTATAAAACATCAAATGACTTACTTTTAAAACCTAGGGTTCTGATTTATGATTTATTTATATATCCAGATTTTAGGTTTTCTATCTCAAAAATATAATTACTTTGGAAAAAAATGAACGATCTATTATCTTTTATTTTCTTACTATTCTCATTTATCTTAGCCTCATCAACCTTACAGAAAGAATGAATAATTTATATGAAAATAGGAATTCAACCTCAAATTATTTTCTGTTGTAGTCTGTTTTGTGCTGCTATGTGTACCTTACAATTCAGAAGGGTGAAGAGCCCAAGAATAAGGGGCTGCCATCTGATAAAGTCCTTTTTGCTCTGTCATCCCATAATGGAAGAGCAAAGACAAAGGGAGGACAGACAGCAAGAGGGACAGATTTCACCATTACAAGAAACCGACTCATGATAACAAACCCACTTCTATAGTAACAGCATTAATCTACTGATGAAGGCAGAGCCTTCATGATCTCATTCACTCGCTTTATTTCTTCAGTACTAGGGATTGAACCTAGGGTCTTTGCACTGAACTATATACCCAGTCATTTTTCTAATTTTTATTTTGAGACAGGGTCTTGCTCAGTCATTAAGTAACCCAGGATGGGCTGAAACTTGTAATCTTTCTGCCTCCACCTCCTAGAGTACATTATTGGGACTGCAAGTGTCACGAGGCCCAGGAAGGGTCCTACCTCTTAAAGATCACATTGGGGATCAGGTTTCTAACACAGGATCTTTGGAAGGACACATTGTGACATATCTTCAGCAAAATTAGAGTATTACCACAATTCTTCAGTTTCACCCAAACGTCTAAAATCATGTTAACATTTATGCCTTCAAGACCACTCATCAGATTGGGCTGTTATTCATCATCTACAGTAATACAGCTTTCACACTGAAGATTTCAAATTGATTTTAATTTTTAAACAGTAAAGTAGAACACAAAGACTATTCAAGTGCTACAATAAAATTAGTTTTTGCTGATAGGTCAATGTATTTCTCTTCTCAGGTAATATTTTCATATTAATGGGCCTTCTGGGATCAGTCCATTAATGAAACTTTTCTAAAACTAATTTCTATAGAATACCAGTAGTTAATGGTTCTTGAGGGAAATGATCTTGTCAGACAAGCATGGGAGCTCTGTATACTATATTTCTTGGGGAGAAAAATCATATTAAGTGCCTATCAAAAGACTAATGATACAAAAAAACCAAAAAGATAACAGTGCTGGGTGTGGTGGCACATGCCTGTAATCCAAGCACTCAAGAGGCTGAGGCAGGAGGATCATGAGTTCAAGGCCAATCTAGGTTACAAAGTGACCTCAAGGCTGGGGGTTTAGCTCAGTGGCATAAGCACCTGCCTTGCAAGCAGGTGGTCGTGAGTTCGATCCCCAGTACTGATAAAAATGAAAAAGACAAAAAAAAAAAAAAAAAAAAAAGTGACCTCAAGGCCAGTCTGAACTGCATAGTGAAACCCTGCTGCAACACAAAAAACAAGAGACTAATGATGTTTTATCTAAACCGTGTGTGTATTGCAGGCTTTTAGATGTTGCCATAAAACTCTATGATTCTTTTCTTTGAGAAATTATTTCTGATTTAATTTTTTCTAGAGGCTCATTCAGTTGCTTTGGTGTTACTAGACAGGCCAGGTGGGTGGCTTTCAGATTGTCCCACCTCATTGCCCCCTTGGTAGAGTTTGCCTTTGGTAGACTGGATGTCTGAGGTTGCTTCTTATTTAAGTGTCTTCTCATTTTCTTTTCAGTTTAATTTCTGGGTTGGTGCATGTAAACTACCTATGATGAATAGCTGTATTGCTAGTATTTAGAACCCTTATGAAATGGCCACTCCAAAGTGTCTTCCAGATATAACTGGCTTTTGGATTTTGAATCTGTTGCAAGATCCTGCCTCTTCAATTTGTTGGAGATGACAAGTTGCTGCCTGCTTGGCCCAGCCCCTGGTTCTCTGGCACTGTCCCACAGTTTTTCTGTGATGCTTAGTTGGTCTCAGTCTTGGAACAACAGGAAGAACTGCTGATTAGAACAATTATGTCACTTTGAATAAAGTGGTACAGTGAGTAATAACAGTAGCATTAAATGCAGCCTAGAAAATGACAAAGTAAGGAAAGCATTAATTTGCCACCTTTAACCATATGAACTAGATTAGTGGTTATAGAACAAAATACAGGCAAATGCTTATACCATTGAATTATATCCCCAGCCCTAGAACAAAATCTAAAACAACCAGAGAATTATATGTAATATATAGGCCATTAATATTTCAATTGTAGGGGCTGGAGATTTAGCTCAGCAGCATAAGCGCCGGCCCTGCAAGCAGGCAGTCATGAGTTTGATCCCCGGTACCGATAAAAAGGAAAAAGACAAAAAAAAAAAAATTTCAATTGTACCTCGGGTTAAAATTTAAAAGAGGTCAGGGAAAAATAGAGAAGTAGAAGAAAAGAGAAGTAAGGCTGGAGGACACAGCAATCATGGTAACTTTGGGAACCTGGTGTAGAAGATAGGAGGGAAAGAGAAGGAAGAAATAAAAGGAAGAACAGAACACTACAACAACCACTAAGAGGCTACAAACCACATTGACATTCATGTAAAAACAAGATCAAACAAGGAAAAAAAAGCACCCCTAAAAGACAAAAAACCACCACCACCATAACAAAAAACAAATGAGAGAGAGTGTGCACTTTTAGGTTTGTCTCTGCTGTCACTGGTAGGTAGTGTGTGGAGTCAGAGCTCAGATCTGTGTTGATTTATCCCAGCAAGCCAGCAGTATGTTTATGGTGGGTAGTGGATAATCTCAGTGAGCCTGCACCTTTATCTCCCCTCAAGCTAGGGTGGTTACTGGCAATGGGGGGGGCAAGACCATACCTATTCACCTCAGCAGTTAGTGCACTTTGTGCAGGCTTGAACTCAGCTGGGAGCCCCTAGATGGACCCAGCAGTTGTTCTGATTTCTGAGCTTAGTTGGCCCCTCTCTAAGATGGCTCCCAGCCAATCACACTCCTCTGTGAGATGACTGAGCCCTCAGGCCTCACTCCAAGCTCAGTCTTTCACATCCACTGCTCCCTTCCACTGCAGTGTCTCTCTATTGTAGCCTTTCATGTTGCCAGCAGTCACTGTGTATCTGCAGGTTTGAATTGCTCCTCCCAAGCAATATATCCTGACTCAGGGATAAGATTGCCAGCTACCTCCTCCTTTGCTGAAGTTTCTCTCTTCACTCTGCCTTCAGATCTTTCCTGGGTCCAGGGGACCCACGCCCCTCCTTGTGTTCCTCTGGATGGCAACTCTCAGCCTCTTTCTCTGCTTCTTATTGCTCTGCCACTTTCCTGGAAGTCCTCAGGATTCCTTTTTTTTTCTTTTTTTTAAAAAAAAAAAGGGCTGGGGATTTAGCTCAGCAGCATAAGCACCTGTCTTGCAAGCAGGTGGTCGTGAGTTCGATCCCTGGTACCGATAAAAAAAAAAAACCTAATTCCTCTTTTTTTCTTTTTAGTGCTGGAGGTCAAACTCGGGGCCTTATGCATGCTAGGTGCTAGGTAAATGCTCTATCAGTGGGCTACATGTCTAGCCCTCTTATCTCTTACAGATGTTCTGCTTTGCAAATTTTGGATGCTGTTGTAATGAATAACTTCAAGGATTGAAATTTCAGCATCACAGCAGATGTGTGTTATGTGAAGGAAAGTGACTATATGCTATGCAATGAGGTGCTTGATTTTTTTTTAACCTAAAATGGTGCTTTTTTTATGGCTTGGTGATGTCACTCAGTGGTAGAAAACTTGCCTCAAATGCATTAGGCCCTGTGTTCAATCCTTAGCAAGACACAGACACACACACACACACACACACACACATACACACACACACACACACACATACACACACACACACACACATACACACACACACACACACACACACATACACACACACACACACACACAGGTGCTTTTCAATGGACTAAATCCAGTAGCCCTACCTGTCATTTATACTTAAATCTTTCACTGATGGGTATTTGGATTATATATAATTTCTTACTGTGAAAAATGCCTTATCAAGTATCTGTTTCTTACTATACATAACCAAGAGTTTTTCTAATATGGTAAGTTTCTGACTTACAACAAGTTTTCTGGGAGAATTGTTTGAAAGTTGAATTCATTCCTAAGCCAACAAAGTGAGTCTTACACAGTATGCAAGTGAAAATTTGCAACCCAGATATTTGTAAGATAGGGACTTACATGTTTATCAAAAAGTAGGATTACTGTGTCACAGTTTACATTCATTTGGAATCTAGTTAAATTGCCATAAAAATAGAAAGTATCATTGTGGTGCGAATTTACAATACCTTCAACCAGTAAAATATTTATTTCCCCAAGTCTTAATATTCTTCCTGGTTAATAATAAGTTGAACATTGTTAAACATCTACTTTATGACTAAACAATTTAACTTGCTAGTTTGTGTCTTGGCTATGTTCTTTTTATTAAAAATTTCATATTAAGAATTGTGATATTTTAAAAATAAAATTCCAGATAGTAATCTTTTACCTGTTAAAAGTGAAGAACTGACTTCTTCCAGGTTTCAACTTACGTCTGTATTTATGGTGATATTGCCAAATTAAAATTTTAAAAATGGGTTCAATCACAGCTTTCATTGTTATGACTGATTTCAAAAGGTCAAAAGTCTTTTTGGTTTTTAGTAGACTCTTGGTTTTCTAGGTAACTTTGAACTTTGTCAATTGAACTTTGTCAATTGCAATTTGTAATTTTGTGTTTTGTCCCAAATATTGGTAGTGACTGTTTTGTTAATTATTTTATTATAATAAAAAGAACCTTCAGAATTAGATTTAGTATTGTGGCAGTAGCAGGCATCTAGTCATTTCTCCTGATTTAATGGAAATCATTTAGTATTATGTTTAGGACTGAAGTAAGACTTTAAGTTGTCTTCTACAGTCCCTACTTTTTTGAAATACTGTCTAGATGCCACTTTAGCACATTGATATAATGTTTTTCTCCTTAAATTTGTTAATATGATACTGTACCATAGCCATACCAGGTGGTATAGTAATGGCATAAGAATAAATAATGTAGCCGGGTGTGGTGGCTCACGCCTGTAATCCCAGCACTCCGGAGGCTGAGGTGGGAGGATTGTTGTGAGACCAGCCTGGGCTACAAAGTGAGCTCAAGGCCAGCCTGAACTGCATAGAGAGACCCCGTCTCAAAAAGACAAAAAAAGAATAAATAATGTAACAAACAGTCCTGAAAAAGACATACATATATACAGTCATCTAATTTCTGACAGCCTCCTCTGCAATGTGCTTGGAAAATGGTAGTCTTTTCAATACATAGCACTGGGTCAGTCACCTATCTATATGGATAAAGCATTACTCTTGACTCATACTACAGACAAATCAATCCCAAATGCATTAGCTCTTGAATTATAAAAAGTAGAGCAAAGAATTTCTCCAGCAGTGAAATAGTGAAGATTTCTTAAACGGAACGAAGAACACAAATCATACAAGGAAAGAACTGAAAATTTTACTATGAATCTGTAAGAATCTGTTTTCATCAAAAGATACCAGTTGGAAACTGAAAAGATACCCAAACTGCCAGGGGTTAGCTCAGCAGTGTTAAGTGGCTGCCTGGCAAGCACAAGGTAGTGAGTTCAATCCCTGGTACAAAAAAAAAAAAAAAAAAAAAAAACCCACAAACTAAGAATTTACAGTATTCATTTTATATATATAGTGATTTATCTAGAATATGTGAAGAACCCTATAGATCAGCAAATGACAGAAAACCAAATAGGAAATGGGGAAAAACCCTGAATATACCAAATGACCAAAAAGATGAAAAGATGTTCAAATTTACTATCAAGGAAATGATAAAATTAAAATCAAAATGTGTTATCACTACACATTAGAAGAGCTAATGAAACAGATGTACAGTGTATGCCTACAGTGTGCCACTGTATGCTGTAGCCTCTGCTAATGTGATACTGAATATAAAAAGATCCCCAATCTCTAGAAAATCTAAGAAGCAGCTAGCCAGTGATTACCTATCTAATTAAGAAAATGTCAGAACCAGGTGTGGTGGCCCACTCTAGCAATCTCAGCACTTGGGAGGAGGAGGGAGGTGGACACCAGCCTGGGCTACAAATTGAGCCCAAGGCCAGTTTGAACCACAGTGAGACACTGTCTCAAAAAAGAAAGACAAAAAAAAAAAAAAAAAAGAAAAGAAAAGAAAGAAAGAAAATGTCAGATACTCATAAGGACTATGAAGAAAAAAGTTTTGGGGAAGGAAAATCACTAGAGGACAATTCAATTGTCTGTTTCATAAGAATAAACCATACAGTGGTAGCAGTACAAATGTTATACATAATTATGACAACAGAAAAGGGACCTTTCCTGGGATACTAAGGGATACTAAAATAAAAACCCGCTAATCAAAACTGCATATCTATGTATGATTAGAACAGAAAGTCCAGAAATAGACCCAGATATATGTGGACTTTTAATATCAAAGGGATGTGGAGAAAAGATACTTCTCTGAATACACCTTACTAATTTTTTTCTTTTGGGACCATAATTGTATTTTTAAAATAAGTATCAACAGCTGCAAGTGATGGTCCACGCCTGTAATCCCAGCCCTCAAGAGGCTGAGGTAGGAGGACTGCTGGTAGTTCAAGCCAGCCTGAACACTACACAGAGACGTTTTTTGTTTTTGAGATAGGATCTCCTTTTGTAGTTCAGATTAGCCTTGAATTTACTATGTAGCCTTGACTAGCCTTTTACTTACAATGACCCTTCTGCCTCAGCTTCCCATGTGCTGGGATTACAAGTGAATGCCACCATGCCTGGCACCCTAAGCATCTTTTGAAGACAATCTGACATATTCCCTCAGGACAAAGACGGGGGTGGGGTGGGGGTGGGGAATCATGTAAACAAGAATTGATGTAAGCTGTTTTTCTGTAAAGAGTATAACAATATTTACAAATAGCTCTAGTTATGGAAATTATCTACAGTAATTATAGTTATTTCTTCATATAATTTCCTAGCAAAGAGGGCAGACAAGCAGTGATATCCCAGTAGCAACAAGCACCCACATCCAAGAACTAGAGCTCTGTAGTAAAACAGCATATACTGTACCAGGGCTGGGCAGATAAGGGCATAGAAACATCTTGGGGAGGTAAAAACTAGACAAATGCTCATGGAATGATTAAAACATGTCAAAACGTCACAGAATCAGTCTGGAGGATTACCAGTCCTGAGAATCAAAACACAGTAACAGGTTGAGTAAAGCCATTGAATAGGCTACTGGCTTAACCAAGAACCTATGAGCAACTCTTCATCTTATCAATGAATAGTGGAAGAGGAATATCACAATCATCTAAAATAGTAACTGCTTTTGGTAAGGATCATCAGTGGCTCATTACATTACACATGTATCAGCATGTGCTGTATGCTTAGACCTGTCATTAATTAGAACATATATTAGGCATCTGCTGGTGGCATGAATCCTTTCTAAGCCCTAGCCGAGTAACAACATAAAACCCGAGCTCAGGTGAGCAAGGTGGCACAGGCCTGCAATCCCAGCACTCTTGGAGGCTGTGGCAGGATTATCTCAAATTTGAGCCCTACCTGGGCAATTTAGCAATTTGACAAGACCCTGTCTCAGAATAAAATATTAAAAAACAATTAAAACTGAAGGACTGGGGATATAGGTCAATGCGAAGGCCCAATGTTCAATCCATATTACCACAAAAGAAAGAAAAGAAAAAAGAGCGCACTGTGGCCTCCTTGTTCAACAACCCGCACCCTCCACCCACGTGCTCTGAAACGCAGCTGTCTGGCTCGACCCCACGCCCTAATTTTCGCGCTTGCGTATTCCTTACAGTCTAATCTCTGTGGCGGACTACATTTCCCACCAGCTCTAGCGCGGTTTCCTTCCGGCTTCCTTGCTGCTGTCTGCTCCGAGAGGTGAGTTGATCTCATGCACTGAGGAAATGGGCGCGGGGGTGGCGCGGGGGCGGCGCGGATTTGTGTGTCAGTTGGATTGCAGCGACTGTGGAGTTTGTGACGCTGACTGGGCATCGGGTGCCCTCCTGCGGCCTCTGCTGTCCCGCTTCAAAGGCCCAGAGGCCCGGAATGGCTCCGAGTTAGATGTGTGAACCCGAGCGAAGGCCCCCAAACAAAAAGAGAATCCTGAGAAGAACTGCACACTTCAGCCGCTCTCCCGTCCCACGAAGTTAGTGAACTCGGAGACGGGTTCCAGCCTAGCTTTCGGGTTTTCTTGCGTTTCTCCGGGATACGGGAAGTGCTAGCTGCACTCTTGGCTCCCTGATTACAGCGGGTATGAGTGTGTGATAGCGAGGATGTGTGTCGCGTCATATAGACCAGGCTCCAAAGAGAAGCCACGCTGTTTCGATTTTTCACCCTCTTTCCCAGTCCTGTTGATACTTAGGAAGTTGAGGGGAAATGAAAGAAATAAATGATTGCGCTTACGTTCATAAAAAATAAACGTCAAAGTTTGTTCCATGAAATGTAATTTTTATTTTTGGGGCATTAAGGACATTTGCTTACCTTTTCTGTGGAAGAGTGAAAGTCACCACGGACTGAAAAGAGAAGCACCAGCGCTGTCATTAATTAGGCTAGGAGAAAAGAGACAGATAAAGCTACAAATTTAATAACATTATTTCTCGGCAGGTTATGTCCTGGTTAAGTGTCATAACCACTTCCTCAGAGAGATTATAGATTTCTTACCAGTGGTGCTCCAGATTTGCTTTGGTATTTTGATTGTATTGGGAATTCTCCTTTTCTAAACCACCCTTGTGATAACACTTAGGATAGTACTGCGGTTTATGCAAAGCCATTCCAGATCTTCACTGCCCATAGAGTCTCCCTTTAGCTGGCAATCAACCCTTTACAAAAGAGCTCTTTTCCTCCTTCTGGTCTACTCTATTCCAGCAGTTCCTGGGAATTTCCTCCCTCTCTGTGAATCAATGAATATAGTTTTATCACATTTTATTGACTTGTTTCACTTAATATTGAACTGGTTTAGTCTTTAATACCTAAAATGAATTACCTGTCCAGTGTGACAGGTTCATCCTGGAGACCAAGCAGCACACGTCTTCCCCTCCGGAGCCAGGAAGTATTATGCGATTTGAGGACCAAAGCTTCTCCAGGAGAATCTAATGGCTCAAACAGCAACTCATAGGAGAACCCACAGTGCATCAATGCAACAACGCAATAACACCTTAACGCCCCCTTCTCCTTCTCCTCCTCTCTATTTATGCTGGCAGCTTTCCTCAGATGGAACATCTATGCTCAGTGCCATGCTGATGTAATCCAGCTGACCACCAGTTCTTAATCCGTAACACAGGGTAAAAAATATTCACCTCCATGTTTACATTTATTCTGAAATGCTATAATTTAGACCTAGGATGACCCTTAGAGGCCCATACATTAATGGATTTTTCCTCAGCCTGTGGCACTATTGGTAGGTGGTAGACATTTAGGAGGTGTGCAGTCCTGGGACAGAGGAGAAGCTGTGGAGACTGCAGTGATGCTGGCTGCATCTCAAGCCTGGAACCACTGAGGCTGGGGCACTAGAAGCCTGAAACTTGCTGTTGCTTGCATAGCACCGTAGCTTGCCTGAAGAAGCCTGGAGCTGCTCAGTCCTACCTGCTGCTGAAGTCTTTCCGGAGCCCAGCAGTTTTAACATTGGCCTGGTGTTGGTGTGATTAAAGATAACTTTACCTTGCAATCCTAGAACCTGGGCCTGTAGGACCCTTGACTGCATCTCGGACCATGTGAGCCTAACAAGTCCTGGGTTTTACTGTGTGGGGCCTGGTGTTGAAATCAAGGCCAACTTCTGTGCTCACTTTGTTCTCCTTACCCCAACTAGACAATAGCTCTATCTGTGCTGTGCTGCTTGGGAGTTAGTCAATGGGTAGAACAAGTTACGTAAAACTCTCCTTGTTACATTTTTCAATATATCCTTTCTTATTATTGGGTCATGGTCAGATACTGTGATCTCTCCTCTGATTTCCTTAGCTGTTGTAAAGATATGTGTAGTTTCAGTTGTGGATAGTTTTCCAAAATGATGTTTCTGTAGAGAGATGTTTGCTGAAAAACACTATTTTTGCCATCCTCTGAGGTTTGGTATTTTTAAAAAGTTATTGGTTAGTTCTTTGTTTTAGAGAACTGCCCATCTTCACAGTTCTCTCAGAAAAGCAGAAATTCTAACCATTAGAGCCCAAGACCAAAGTTGAAGGAGAACCAGGTTTTTAGTGACAGAAATGTGAATTGAAAACAAAAAAAGTCTGTGCCTTATGTGATTGGAATCCGAGCCTCAGTGTGCCGAGAGGGTAGAATTACAGTGTTTGACAATACTGAGGGTCAGTGGGCAAGTATATGAGGCACCCATCACATAAAGATTTTCAGTTAGTGTTGGCGAACTGCAGTGACTGTAAACCAACACCTCCACGGTTGGACACTAACGGGGAGTGCTAGAGGGTGTCATACTTTGAGATGTCCTGTTGCGACCTGGAGTGAGGAGTTATCTTAGCCAGGAGAAAGCCGTGTGGCCTTACAGAAGGCTGCCAGGGTCAGTCTGTATGATTTTTTAATCTTTGTCTTTGGAAAAACTCTGGTTCAGTTTCCATTATTGCTTATCTGGATTTTTTCAGAGCATGGATTTCTTATTTTTTTGGTATGAGAAAACAAACTCAGGATCTTGCTCTTGCCGGGCAGGTGCTGTACCATTGAGCTAGATCCCTGGCCCAGATTTCTCTTTTCTTTTTTCTTTTTTTAGTTAGAGGACACGCAGATTATATGGGAAGGTTTGTGAGACTATAGTGTATATACTACGTTAAAACAGCAAGGAAGAGCTATTTATAGAGAAAGGCTGGAATGAGAGATTTCCACTGAAAGCAAATTAATTTGTCAACTGCCAAACAAAAATGAGCACGTGAGTGTTACTATACTGAAGGCATGCTATACCAGCTTCTGTGCGGCACGCTAAGGGATAGTTAGAATGGCTCACTGGTGCGTATGAATCATTAATGGTCATGTTTTTGACTCTTGCCAAATTTCAAGCGTGTCTTATTTTATTTATTAGTGGGGATCAAACTTGCAACCTCGCGCTTGCCAGGCAGGCGCTTATGCCACTGAGCTAAATCCCTGGCCCACATGTCTTATTTTAGATGGAGTATAGCTTTTATCTGTTATTTCATCCTGTAAAAACGTATGAAGACAATGTTCATTCTGTGCTAGAGGAAGACCAGCAACCTTGTTTATAAATTGCTCCAGCCCTTGCTTCCTTTCCTCAACAAAATTGTCTTCAAATATTCCATCATCTCCTCAGAAAGGAAGTTGATGCAAAAATGCCTTTTCAGGGAGTAGGGGACTACAACTTGTTCTCTGTCTGTCACTCTCTGTCTCTGTCTCTCTCTCTCTCTCTCTCTCTCTCTCTCTCTCTCTCTCTGTCTTTGTCTGTCTAATTCACTTCATAGCCGATCAGAGTCACTGTATCCTCTTCTCACAGTAGACTCCTTCAGCTTGAAAATTGGAAGATTTGTCTTGGCCCTGAAGCGCCCTGGCCGACCCCCACTGTCTGCGGGTTGCTCACATCCATCTCGAGGAAGTTGCTGGGCGGCAGTGGGTGTCATTCGGGTTCTGCGGCTGGGTGATGAGTCCCCGGGTGTCTGCTAGGGTTTCCGCCATTTCGCTGCCACCGCTGCCGCCACAGGGACACGGGCTCGCACAGTGGTTAGGGTTTGGGTTCACGAGGCAAATGGAGCATGGATTTCTTGAGGCCTTCCATCCTCTGCTTCAGATTTGTGAGAGTGTGGGATAAGAGTGGGTACAGTCGTGGGGGTAGTTTGGAAAAGGAAAAAATGCAGACGTCAACATAAGTCACTCAGGGTACTCCTAAGGACATCTAGCTTCCTAGCCTTCTATTTCTTTATCCCTGCGTGGCACTCAGGATTATGGCTGTTTTTTCTTCTTTCAGCTCTGGTTTGTCTAGACTCTGCAGTTCTCCAACAAAGAAATACTGAAAAGGACTGACCAGTTCTTGGGGTGCTAAAACCATGGCTGATGTAAGTTAATGTTTTTTTAAAAATATTTTCAATCTCTAGATCATGTGTACATATTTATTAGATTTCCTGAACTTTCCATTTTATCGGAATTCTATCAAAGAACCTGTTCCATTTTGCCATCCCTGAGATGAAAGACAGACAGCCCATTGATAGTCTTTCTTCTGCAAAAGTCGGAGCAGAAGTGAAATGCCTTGGGAAAAACACAGTCATTCTCTGAAGAAGGTCTCTCTCTCAACATATTCTGGTGGAACAGCTTTATATTTTAGTACTTAATTCCAGGAAAATATATTTTTCTTAATACAATGATTTATTGAGGGGAAAGAGAATGAAACCCAGGGCCTTATACATTCTAGGCAAGTGGAATTAAGCCATTTTCCTCACTGACACCATTAAGCCATTTTCCTCACTGACAGTACAGTGACTTTTGATCTAGTTTTATGTAAAAAAAAAAAAAAAAGTGTGTACTCAATATACAACGTCTCATTTAAGACACTTTTTTTTGTGCCAGGGATTAAACTCATGACCTCATGCTTGCCAGGCAGGCATTTATGCTGCTGAGCTAAATACCCACAACATCTCATTTAAAACAAAATTTTTCAGTGTTTTATTGGAGTAAGGCATATATATAGAAAAGTTTACAAATCATGAGAGTAGAGCCGAATTTTCAGGAGTATTACCAGTACTTCAGATGTTTCCCCCTCCCGTCATTGCTCACCCACCCATCTCAGATGTAACTAATATCTCAACTTTGAAGGCCATTAATTAATTTTGCCTATTTTTAGAACTTTAATAAAGTGAATCATGTAGCTGAATGCAATTTTTTTTTTTTTGTGCCAGGGATCGAACTCTAACCTTGCACTTGCCAGGCAGGCACTTACGTCCCAGCCCCAAGCATAGTTTTTTTTTTCTTTTTTCTTTTTTTTTTGTCTTTTTCCTTTTTATCAGTACTGGGGATCAAACTCACGACTGCCTGCTTGCAAGGCAGGCGCTTATGCCGCTGAGCTAAATCCCCAGCCCCACACAATATTTTTTAAACAAAAACAGTGTTAGGAAGAATCTAGTTATAGTTCATATACAGTTGCTAGACCATTGAAACAACCATATGTATCATTAAAGAGGCCATGTATTTGGTACTGCTAGTGATACAGAATTTATCAGAGCATCATAGTAGAGATGAGCTATGTTCTTATTGGAAGTAATTTTCTGTAGATTAGGTTTTATTTTTTTTCTGGTCCAGTGTAGAGTCTTTAAAAATTGGAAAAGGGCCAAGTATGGTAGTGCATATTTGTAATCCCAGCACTTTCAGAGTCTGAGGCAGGAGGATCACAAGTTTGAGCATAACCTGGGCAATTTAGCAACTTAGTGTGACCTTGTATCAAAATAAGAGATTAAAGAAATAGTGCCTCCCAAAAATCAGCCATGCTGAGATTGGGAGGAGCTGACCAACCAGCCAACTAGCCAGCCTTTCTAGTAAGCCAGCAAGCCATGTGTGCACAGCCCAGGAAGAGAAAAGTAAGCACCTCCCCAGAGCCTACTGCCCCCTCACCCTCCTTGGCCGGCCAGCTGGTTCTGAGGACAGGCTGAGTCAGTGACAACTTAGGTACAAAAAGCAACTGAATGTTCACATTGTTTGGTTGACTATACAGGCCTGAGGCCGATGGTCTGAGCATCAATAGGGTACGCCATATAGCAAATGTGGGGTATTTCCTTCTGTCTTGTTTTTGAAATCCAGTATTATTCTCATTGTTTTGTTCCTATTAATTGTTTTTGCTTTATTTAATATTGTTTTGATTGGTTTTATTCTGTTTTAGTTTGGTTTGATGTAGCTATATCTGATGGGATGGACAACTATTGTAAAGATAAGATATACAATGGTAGCCATTGTTGTTTTGCTATTGTGCTGCTTTAAAGTTCTGTATCAGTTTCATTGCTTTGTTTTGATTGGATTTATTCTGTTTTGTTTTGTTGGTTTTTATTATCTTTAAAATAAAAAAATAAAAGATTAAAGATGGGCTGGGATGTAGATCAGTACAAAGGCCTGGGGTTCAATCCCTAGTACTGAAAAAAAAGAAAATTGAAAACTATTGAAGAAAATTGTGGTGAAAGTTTCAAAGCAAATGGGAAAAATGAAATTAGTAAAAGAAGTGATGAAAGTACTAGCACCAAAGACACTGCAGGTGCACTGACCAATGCATTGTGTAGTACAGTTCAATAGTGAAGGAAACAAACTAGTTTGAGGGTTGGAATTAACAAATGTGGATTATAATTCGATGATGAAAAACTAGGCACCTAATTTATAATGTAGTATTAAAATATGTGATTTTTTAGGAATGCATTACTGATATTAAATGTGAGATCTCTCTTTTGAGCTTTCCTTGGAGATCAGCGGTTTAATGAAAGAATATTTATCTTGTTTGATACCTTATGGGGAAACTATAGACTCCTCACAGGTGAGAGTTTTTAAAGTAATAGAATGGGATTTAGTGTTGGCTGATCTTAGTTTCTCTATGTGTTGAGCTCTTACAAGGCTTTTAGGACTGAGTGGGTCACATAGAGATGTAATTAGGGCTTTTTGTATGATAAGACCTAAACTTTTATGTGCAGCCTTGTGTTTGTCCAGTTCCCAAAGGCCTAACCGGATGTGCCTGCCCGGTGGAAAAGGCTTTCTTTCCTCCTAGTGCTCCAGCCTGCTAACCCAGTTATCCCTCCTAGGCCTAACCTAATCGTTGTCACCACCCTGTAAGCCCATGTGATTATTCTAACAACCCGAGAACTAGAGAACACTTAATGGTTCAAAACCTGCCTCCTACAACCCCTTGTTGTTCTGTTCCTGAGTAGGACTCTATGGCCTTGCATGATGTGTGACAGCTTCCCGAAGGCTGTATGTGTGACTAATAAACTGCTGTCAGTTCCACCTGTGTAATGTCAGCTGTTTGACTGATAAGCTTTTCAGAGAAGAATCTCTTTACGTCAGCAATAGGATGGCTAGACAGTAATCAGAGCAGAGCTGCAAATAGTTCGAGGATCATCACTAATTTTCTCTGAGAGAAGAATGCCAGGAACAGAGTTCATTGTGTCTGTTTTACAGGATGTGCTGGCCTAGAGCAGTTATTTCTAAACCTCGGAACTACTGATATTTAGAGTCAGACTCCCTTACTATAGCAGACTGTCCTTTGCACTAGGATGTCTGACAGTGTCCCTGGCCTCTACTCATTAAGCATCTGTAACAGTCACCCCTCCCACACTAGTTGTGGCAACTAAAACTGTATCCATGTCCAGATATCTTTTTGGGAGACAAGAACATCACTCTTTCTTTAAAATTGATGCAGGGTACTCTTTTCACTATATCTTTATGATTTATTATCCTGTAATGCAAAAGTGAGAAAAGATTGGGCGGGGGATTTAGCTCACAGCATAAGTGCCTGCCTGGTAAGGGGCTAGGTCATGAGTTTGATCCCTGGTTACCCCCCCAAAAAAGTGAGAAAAGATGTTTAATAAGGGATGATAGTAAAGGATACAGTTATTCAAATGCACGAGAATTACATGTTACAGATAACAAGCATTAGAGAAAACTTGAAATCATACTAATTCAAACATCTAAATTTGCTGGTTATGGTGGCACATTCCTGTAATTCCAGCATTCAGGAGGCTGAAGCAGAAAGATCACTGTGAGTTCAAGGCCAGCCTGGGCTATGAAGTGAGTACAGGACTGGCCCAAATTGCACAGTGAAACCTTACCTCAAAAAAAAAATCCAAATTTTAAAAAGAGAATCTAATATACTCAAAGAAGACCACTGTACATCAAAATAGTTAAAGTTTACTAAAGAAATAATTGGAGTTTTTTGTTTTGTTTTTGAGTACTGGGGATTGAACTCATGATCTTGCGACTGCCAGGGAGGCACTTGTGCCTCTGAAGCTAAAATCCCTGGCCCTAAAGAAATGATTGTTAACATGGAAAATGTGTATGTAAAATATAAAATTTCATTGTGTTGTGAGCTTTTTTAATTTTAAAGAAAAAAAACCAATGATTCAGGTTTTCAATGTTGTAAACTTTTTTATCTTAATATTTTTTCTCTTTTATAAACTTGAGTTTACCTTCAGAGAGATTTTGTAGTACACTTGGGAAAAGTTTTTGCCATTATATTTCCATGATCATTAATAGGAAAAGAGAATGAAAGACCTCATATTTCTTTAGAGTTCACAGTGAGGGTGCAACTGTGTGCTGAAGGCTTGTGAACATTCTTTGGTTTAATCGAGATTTTTAGTGTATGTGCTGCCAAAATGACCATGATGTAATCGAATTTTTGGTTATTTTATTTACTTTCAGATATGTTTTAATTTAAGCTGCAACCCCAAGACTAGTCAAGAACATGTAGGCACTTTATTTCTGAAATACTGATTTTCTTACTGTTCTCTATTCATAATTTTTGAGCTCTATTTGTGTGCTGTGTAGTCCCCATTCTGCAATGAAGACCTCAGTCTTATCTCTTTCTACTTGCAAGAAAATTTATTTTCACAGATAATTCAAAAGTTCATTTTTTTTCAGGATTCAGTGACATTTGGAGATGTGGCTATAGACTTCTCACAGGAAGAATGGGAATTCCTGGACTCTGCTCAGAAGGACTTATATAGGGACGTAATGTGGGAGAACTATAGCAACTTCATCTCACTAGGTAAGGTTGTTATCAGCACTGTTAGCTGTCTCTGCCACTATATTCTGAGAAACACACTAAATTCTTACTCTGTGTTCCCTTAAAGAATGATTAAGTTAGCTGGGCACGGTGGCACATGTTAACACTCTGGAAGCTGAGTCAGGAGGATTTCCACAAGTTCAAGACCAGCTGCATAGTGAGTTCAAGGCCAACCTGGACTACACAGCAAGACTTTGTCTTAAAAAACCAAATTCTACCCTTCAGAAAACCCAAAAAGCAAACAAAAACAAAATAGAGAAATAATGGTTAGGCTTTGTTAGATTGTAAATAGGTTCCACCACTTAAATATTCCCAGCCTGTGGTGCCTTTCACATTTCCTTCGGAGTTTTGTAATTCCTGTTTCCCTTAGTATCCAACAGGCTGGTTTTGAATATGCTACACGTATTGTTAGGGAACCGATGTCATATTTTACTTGTGCCCAGAATTGACGCATACACCTCATACTTCTTTCTAACTCTTCTAAAATGAGATACCTACTCACTGGGCCACTGAGTTTCTCTAAAAATCAAAAGAGAAAGAAAAAATGAAAAAGGAGTTGGTAAGACATCAGTATGGGATGATCCTATAAGCTTCATGTAAAATTTAAGTAAATATTTTTTTTCCCCCTGTAGCAGACATACTCAGTTCTGTGTGCTTTGTGGTTGAAAGTTAAAACCCTAGTCCGGTTGATGACAGCCTCTCCGCACTTGGGAGGCTGAGGCAAGAGGGTCACCATGAGTTCAAGGCTAGCCTGGACTTTATTGTTCAAGGCCAGCCTGAAGTATATAGTGAGGTTCTGACTGAAAAAATAAGCAAGCAAACAAAATTTAAGAATTTTGTATTTAACACTGAATATCCCCCAAAGGATCTGAGAATGTCTTAGAAAGCCTCTTATTACCCTCTCAGCAAAATGATAGCAGTAAAAATTAATAGTTCACACACACATGTGTATATGAACGTACCATTATATATATTGTGCTTAGACACTGTTCTGAGCAGTGTTCATTGTTGAGTACTCCTCAGTTACTCCTTATAATTATTATTACAGATGAAAAACTTGGGCACAAGAGGTTAATAACTGACCAAGGTAACAGAGTAACAGTGGCAGGATTTAAAAGTAGGCAGTCTTGATTCAAAGTCTGTGTTCTTAATTACTATAAAATATTGCTTCTTAACAGCCTGTGTGAGCTAAAGCCTATCCTTAATTACCTGGGGTCTATGCCTTATGGTCCTGAGATTACCTAAAAAGAGAGTCCCTCAGCAACCTTGCATTTATTTGCTTTTAGGATTTATAAGGTACCATTCTGATTTGTGATTAATTATAAATTAACCAAATCTGAATGGAAGGACTTTCAGGTTTATAATTTCATGTGACATTTTCCTTTTAAGCAGGAGCTTCTATTTCTAAACCTGATGTAATTACCTTATTGGAGGAAGAAGGGAAGGAACCTGGGATGGTGGTGAAGGAAGGAACAAGAACTTTTTGTTCTGGTGAGTGAGAGCTGAGCAGGCACAGGGCAATCATTACTGCACATCATAATTAGCCTGCATAGAGTGGAGGCTCAGCTTTGAGGTCCTTGGAGCTCTCTCTTCAAATACGCATAGCTGCCAAGCATGGTGTTGCATGTCTGCAGTCCCATCTACCTGGAAAGCTGAGGCATCAGCCTGTTAAATCAGGGCCAGCCTGGTCAACTTAGCGATAACCTATCTCAAAATAGGACTGTGGCTCGGTGCTAGAGCACTCGCCTAGCATGCTTAAAGCCTTGAACTCAATTTGCATTATGTCAAAACAATGTTTATGTAATCTCATCATTCTGGGAGGTCAAGGCAGGAGAACTGCAAGTTTGAAGTCAGCTTGAGTGAGGTAGTGACTGCAAGATTCTGTCTCAAAGTGTGAATAAAAGGGGACGGGGGCAGGCTGCTGGGGATATCTCAGTGTGAAGGCCTTGGATTTAATCCTTGGTACTGAAAAAACAAAAAAGCCCACAGGCTGCAAGGGAAAGTGTGGAGACCTGAAGTAATTAAGAACTTTCAAGTTTGGACTAACAAGGTTACTTTCTTTTGACCTTGATTATGTTGTTTTTCATCTCCCACTTTGAAGTACTTCCCACTTCAAAGAGAAAGTTGTTCTCATAGTAGTTGAAATGATAATACATATATGGAATTAACAAAATAGAAAAAGAAAGTACAGCTAAACTCAACTAGTTTGACTACTCAAGAAAAAAAGACAACATAAATTACTGATAGCAGGAATACAGAAGGGATTGGTTTTCATCTCATCTAGCCTTTAAAGATAATGAGACTTCCACTCTCTGGCACTGAAGGATGGGATGGAGGATCTCAAGCACAGCCCAGTGTGGGCAACTTAATGACTTAGCAACACCCTGTCTCGAAATAAAAATTCAAAAATGTCTGAGGGTGTAGCTCAGTCAGTGCTAAGGCCTTGGGTTCAATTGCCTGTACAAAAAAAAAAAAAAAAAAAAAAGATACAAAGAGAATTCTATGAATAACTTTGTGCCAATAAATTTTACAAGTTAAATGAAGTGGAAAAAATTTTTGAAAAAAACAATTTATTAAAACTGACAAAAAATGGTAAAAAAGCAAATAACAGTGTGCATATTAAAGTAATTGAATTCATTATCCAGAATCATGCCACAAAGAAAATGTCAGCCCCACATTGTTTCATTGATGAATTCTATCAAATACTTAAGGAAGAAATAGTGAGTAGCATTAATACACAGTTTTTTGTTTTTGTTATTTTATTTTATTTTGTTTTTTATTTATAAGATCTCGCTATGCAGCTCGAGCTGGCCTTGAGAGTTTGAGCCCAGGCTGGTCTCAGACTCTCAGTGGTCCTCCTGCCTCAGCCTCCTGAGTGCTGGGATTACAGGTGTGCACCACAATGCCTGGATAATACACAATTTGGTCATAAAGGAAAGAACACCTCTCAGCTCACTTGGGCCTATATAACTGTCATAGCATACCTTGACAAAGAAATTATCAAAAACATTATAAATCCATATTCATCATGTATGTAGGAGTGAAATTCTTATCAAAATATTAGCAAATCAAATTCAGTAACATATAAAAATGACTATCAGGTGGGCCTTATACCTTGTTAATTAAAAGAAGAACCCATGTGTGCATCTTTATATTTGTTAGTACTCTGCTAATAAAATTAGAGTTAAGTGGTCCACTCCAGGCCTGTATTTCCCGTGGATTCAGTTATTTGTGGTGTATGACTTTGTAGAAGATGCTGGTTTTTAGGTATGTATATGTAGTATTATAGCAGAAATCTCTATATTCTAGAGACATGTAATCCATCACTTGTAATAGGCATTATTTTATTTCTCTTTGAAAGTTTTCTTGGTTCCGGAACAGGAAAATAACATGTGTTTGCTTTCTTATTTTCTTACAGATTTGGAGTCCAGATGCAGGCCCAATGCCTTATCTCCAGAAAAGGACATTTATGAAATATATTCACTACAATGGGAGATAATGGAAAGAATTAAAAGTTACAGCCTTCAGGGCTCCACTTTTAGAAATGTCTGGGAATGCAAAGCCAACATTGAGAGCCAAAAAGAACCACAAGAGGAGTATTTTGGGCAGGTGAAAATAGGCTCTGAAAAAATGACCACTTATAAAAAGCAAAATTTTCTTACAGATTATCAGAGAGTTCACAATGGAGAAAAGTTGTATGAATGTAAGGAATGTAGGAAGACTTTTATTCGTCGCTCAACACTTAGTCAACATCTAAGAATTCATACTGGTGAGAAACCTTATAAATGTAAGGAATGTGGGCAGGCCTTCAGGCAGCGTGCACACCTTATTCGACATCACAAGCTTCATACTGGTGAGAAACCCTATGAATGTAAGGACTGTGGCAAGGCCTTTACAGTGCTCCAAGAACTTACTCAACATCAGCGGCTTCATACTGGTGAAAAGCCTTACGAATGCAAGGAGTGTGGAAAGGCCTTTAGAGTACATCAGCAGCTGGCTCGGCATCAGAGGATTCACACTGGTGAGAAGCCCTATGAGTGTAAGGACTGTGGGAAGACCTTTAGACAGTGTACACACCTTACTAGACACCAGAGACTTCATACTTCTGAGAAGCTATATGAATGTAAGGAATGTGGGAAAGCTTTTGTATGTGGCCCAGACCTTAGAGTACATCAGAAAATTCATTTTGGTGAGAAACCCTATGCATGTAAGGAATGTGGAAAGGCCTTTAGAATATGCCAACAGCTTACTGTCCATCAGAGTATTCATACTGGTGAGAAACCTTTTGAGTGTAAGGAATGTGGGAAGACTTTCAGATTAAGACAACAACTTGTTCGCCATCAGAGAATTCATACTCGTGAGAAACCCTATGAATGTATGGAATGCTGGAAGACCTTTAGTAGTTACTCACAACTGATTTCACATCAGAGCATTCATATTGGTGAGAGACCATATGAATGTGAAGAATGTGGGAAGGCCTTCAGATTGCTCTCACAGCTTACTCAGCATCAGAGTATTCACACTGGAGAGAAACCTTATGAATGTAAGGAATGTAGAAAACCTTTCAGATTGCTCTCACAACTTACTCAGCATCAGAGTATTCACACTGGGGAGAAACCTTATGAATGTAAGGAATGTGGGAAAGCTTTCAGACTTTATTCATTCCTTACTCAGCATCAGAGAATTCATACTGGTGAGAAACCCTACAAATGTAAGGAATGTAAGAAGGCCTTTAGACAGCATTCACACCTTACTCAACATCAGAAGATTCATAATGGAATTTAATACAGAAAAACCTTCAAATGTACATTATACTATAGAACACCATTAAATCTGGTTTTGAGAAAATTTGTTTTCTGCTTACAAGGATAAGAAGTTTTATATTGAAGAGAGACTGTTACACTAAAAGCCTTCCTTCATTATTAAAATATCTTCATCAAATTCATATGAGAGGACAATGTCATGAATGTTGGAAGATGTTTATCCTTATCTGTCTTTGTTTACTTTTGCTACTTTATTTATTATTACTGTGATATTAGACAAGATACATCATTTTGTGCCTCATTTTGTTCAGTTGTAATGATATTGGTACAGTACTGTACAATCACCAAAAAATTAGTAGCTTAAAATATATACTTGTTATCTCACAGTTTCTCTGTATCTGTGACTGTGGCCATCGGAAGGGTTGACTAGGGGAGGATCTATATCCAAGCTAACAGAATGGATGCCTGAATTCCTTTCCCTCTGGGGTGCTACATTGTGATCCTCAGTCTCTAGCAGGCTGTTACATTTCCTTGCCTCTTCAGCAACCTCTTCACCATGACTGCTTGCTTCATCAAAGTGTGCAAGCTAAGAAGGTGGTTGGCAGCAAGATGGAAGTCTGCTAGCAAGGAAGTTGTCATTTTGTAGAATCAAATCATGGAAACGACATCCCTGTTACCTTTGCTACCTTCCACTGGTTAGAAATAAACTGCTAGATCAGCTTACTGTCACAAGAAGGGGCCTGCACATGAATACCAAAAGAAGCATCCACTGGAGACCAGTTTAGAGTCATCCTGCCCTGCTGTGTAATAGAATTGTGAGGATTAAGTAGTTAAATACTTTGAAGAATAGCACTCACGTAGCTTGTGTTCTGTAAATATTGTGTATAATCATTTTTATTAGTATTAGTGGATCATTTTTAAAATTACTATAGAAGAGATAAATATAGAAATGCCTCCTGTCACATTGCAACATTTACTAAACTGAAAATAACTTATTTTAGGTAAAACCTAGGAAATTGTAGTGAATGAGAATTTCTTCAGCATTTGAATTGCATCAGAAATTTTACAGTTGAAAGAACTATATGATTTTCAATTTGTTGAAGAATCAGAAGCAATTTCCCTCTGACATAGCATCCTTTTGTCTGGACACAGTTCAATGGTAATCACACAGTATGAAAAAGATAGTATAAGAAGCTACCACATGGGAATTTAATTTGGTGCATGCTTGTAAAACTTCTATATAACAAAATGTCATTTCATTATTATTATTGTTACTATAATTGCTTGACCTTCAATTAGTGTTTCTAGTTGGGTCTTTTGACATGAACCACTGGTAGTTTGATAGTTTATTTGGTTATGCTTAATTTGGTCAGTTATGGAAGATACTAGGGTATCAACTCATCATTCTTAAAATCAATATTGGAGCATGAGCCTTTTTTTCCCCATGTGAACCAAATATCAGGGTCATCCAACAAATTTGTTTTTTTTTTTAATTAAAGTCTAACCAGTAAATATGGAATAAATGATAGGATTTGACAAATCTCTGTTTTTGAGATTCTAGTGAAGTAATGGATCCAGAAAATGATTTTCAACGGATGCTAAAACTATTAAGTGAAAGGTTTTATAGAGAAATTATCAAGCTAATCACTTCAGAACACTGGTCAGTTTGAACCTCAATAAAAATGGAACTATCAAACAGTTGCACCACTTGATATAATGCTAATGGAAGCACGTACCCTGTTGCCAAAATAATAAGCAGAAGGAATCATATCTTTAAATCACATTCTTTAAAACCAAGAATTTGAGGAACAGGTAAGTGAATTCACAAGGAAGCAGCTGACTGGATCTAGAATGTATAAATTTTTGCAGAAACGTTGACCTGATTTCATCAAGTAATGAGTGACATGAACAAGCAGAGAGGCAGGTATTAATAATCAGGGAGACTTAAGAGACAAGGCAACTAAACTCACTATGTGGGCATTTCTTGAACCTGGCTTTAGTAAAATGGAAAAGGACACTGTAAATAGTGGAGGAAACTGGACCTGCATTAACTATTAGATAATATTTAGAAATATTTTTTTCTAATAATGGGATCCTAATGCCAACATGGCTATGAAAAATAAAATGTCCTATGTGGTAGAGTTAATAGGTATTTATGAAATAAGATATGCAGACTTGCATTGAAACAGTTGAACACTAGAAAGTGAATTGGCAGAGATTGCTAAATGTTGGTAATTACTGCAGTGAAATTTTTCATGGTGGTGCATTGTTCTAATATTTTTCCTTTTGTATGTTTGAAATTGCAATAAAATGTTCAAAACTGAAGTTATGTGCTACATATTTATTTTAATTATTTTGCAGGAGTGAGGATTGAAACCAGGGGTTTCACACTATGCTATGTCTGCAGCTGTGTGTGTGTGTGTAGGTGTGTGTGTGTGTTTCACCGGCCTGTCACTAAGTTGTGCAGGCTGGCTCAAACTTGGGATCTTCTTGCCTCAGTCTTGAATTTTGTGATTACAGGCATGTGCCATCATGCCCAACTAGAAAACATTTCTTTCTTGTTTTTGTTTTTGGTGCTGAGGACCAAATCCAGGGCATTATGCAAGATCCACTGTACTATACCCTTAACCTCTAAATTCTTTAGAAATTAATGATAATGAGATGCGTATATATTTAACCTTGTGAAATGTCACCAAAGTTCAGTGAAAAAAAGTGAATTAATGCAATAAGGATGTTTCATCTGTGGGCTTAATCTTCATTATCTCTCCTATTCACAGCAACCAATACAGAATTTGTTGCATAGATGAATGTGTTGAAGGAACAAATAAGCATTTATATCAAGAAACTGTTTCTAGAAACAGCCTGGAATGTAGCTCAGCAGCACAGCACCCTCCCAGCAAGTGTGAGACCCTGAGTTCAGTTCTCGGTACAAAACAAACAAAACCCCTAGAAATAAAATAAAACCAGCAAAAATAAGAGAAACCAAATACAATAAGAAGGAGATATTGGGCTGGGGATTTAGCTCAGTGATGTAAGCGCCTGCTCAGCAGTTGTGAAGTTGTGAATTCAATCCCCAGTACTCAGAGAGAAAAAAGAGACATTGAGATACTAGACTAAAAGTAGCAAATGTACTGCAAATGTGCTGGCAATGGGCAGATCTAAAAGTTCACCCTCACTTGACCATAGACTTAACCCAATGTGATTAGATCTCAGTAGAGCTAATCAAAGAGAAAAAAATAACACATATACAGTATTAAGAATGATGCCTGCCTTACAAGTTGGTCATGAGTTCTGATAAAAAAAAAGGTGACATAACTGCAGGTTATCAAGGAGGTTTTTTTAAAAGGTAACATTCTCACATGCATATACATTATTTTTATATATATGTTCATTCTAATATATGTAAAAATATAGATGTGTTATTGTTACGGCTTAACTCTAACCAATGTGCCTCCTCTTGTTCTATATGCACCGACAGGGTTAAGTTTCTAATCCTTGTGAAAGCTTAAATTTCAGCTTCTTGTAACTTTCTACCCCTTTCCCCATGTTATTGCTAATGAGCTGTTCCAAGATAATTAACTCTACTTTCTTTTCCAATGTTATGCAGATGTGCTATTCTGAGATAATGTTTATCAGCAGGGTGGGAGTAACAAAATGCACCAAAAGCTCCAGATGTTATCAGAACTAAGTCAACAGCTTTACAGATTCCAGATGTTGTCAGGACTAAGTCAACAGCTTGACAGCTCTGCAGGGTTTTTTTGTTTTTTTTTTTTTTAAGCTTTAAAAATCCTTTCCTTAGTCTGTGAAGTGCACAGTCTTTGGGTCGATCCTAAGGGGGCTGCATTGCCAGGCCTGAAATAAAAGCCTTTGCTCCAAATTTCTTAATTCCTTGCTTCCTGGATTTTATTCCAGGGCCCAAGCTATCTCATCTGGGGGCTTGTCTGGGATGGAAGCAAGACCCCGACTCAATTCTGAAAACCTAAAAGTAAGTACTCTGGAGGGTTTGTTTGGACTGTGGTCAGTTGGTACTTTTGGAGGGGACGCCCTCAATTTGGGGAGCAAAGACCTCTCGAGGACAGAGTCAATTGGTTTTTTTTTTTTAATAGAAAAAAAGAAAGGAAATAAAAAATAGCAGTAAAAGGATACAAGTAATACAGAATTTCAAGAAAAAGTACAGTTTTGTTCTTTACTGTTTTGTTCAATTTTATTATAACATAATATAGGCAATTCTATTAGAGATAGCGGGAGGCATTATGGTAACCATTGTTGATCACCTTGTATTATGCTTTTATCTATTATCTATTATGCTTTTATGCTATTATCTATTATGTCCACCCTTTAGATTTGACTGACTCTGTTCTGTTATGTCACATTTGATTCTACTCTCTTCCAAAAAAGTAGTAAGAACTGTGGGAGCAACAAAACCCAAAATGTTTAATTGTCATTGTACAAAAGAGAGGAAAAGAAAGTGCGCTAAACGATATAACTGCATGTATATTTAAGTGTATAAGATAGATAATGATATTACTGAGTTTTGTTGGATCATTGAACAGAACTGTTTGCAGTTTCACTGTTGGAATGTCCACTTTATAAGCTTTAATTTTGTAACTTGAACAATTATTTCTAAGATGACAATATGTAATTCATTAACTAGTGATTTCCTACTGTTTATTTTTTTCTGTAAATCTGTATAACTTGTACCCTTTCTCTGCTTTTTTTTCTTTTTCTCCTTAAATAAATTTTTAAAAAAAGAAAAAATACAGTAAGATATCACTAGTTAATAGGTTACATATTGTCACCTTAAAAACCTTATTGTCCAAATTATAAAATTAAACCATATAAAGTGTACATTCATACAGTAAGATTGCAGACAGTGCCGTTCAATGATCCAACAAAAGCTCACTAATGTGGACTTCCATCCTACACACTCAAACATTCATGCAAGTTATATCCCTTAGACTTACCTTCCTTTCCTCTGTTTTTAATAACAGTTACACTTTTTGGGTTTTTTTCTTATTACTCCAACAGTTCTTATTACTTTTTGAAAAGAATAAAACCTAACGTGACTAAACAAAACAGAGTCGGTTAGAACAGAAGGTTGGGCATAGTACATGATACAAAAATAGAATATCATTGGGTACCATTGTGCCTCTTGCTATTTTTAAAAAGAGTTGCCTATATCATCAGGCATAATAGAACTGATCAAAACAGTACAGAACAAGACCAATAAAACCTACACTGGAGACCTTACAGAATTTCAAAAGAAGATAATAGTCAAACCATAATGGGCATCATAGTGAATCTTACTGCCTTCAAAGTGGTTGCCTATACCCTCAAACTTGATACTATCAAACAAAACAGAGTATAGTAAAATCTGACAGAAGAGGATGGGGAGAGCGATACTGGGGTTCATATCAGCTTAACAGGAAAACAAAAAGTCACTATAATATATCCCACTATTTTTTAATTGTTTTCCCTTAATTGAAAAAAATGTAAGAAAAAAATAGATTTATTTTGGGGCTGGGGATTTAGCTCAGCAGCAAAATCGCCTGCCTTGCAAGCAGGCAGTCGTGAGTTCGATCCCTGGTACCGATAAAAACGAAAAAGACAAAAGAAAAAATATTTATTTTAAAAAGGGTGGAGATTAAGATAAAAGAGGACATAGTAACAGAACAACACAGGTCAGAACCGAACAATTTAAGCATTATTGTGTTTCACCCCCAGATAATCTAACATAATAGTAGTCACCATAGTGCCTCCTTCCTTGTATTATTTGAGTATAACTTCATATACTATAGCATCAAGTATATCAAGACAGTTTGAAGCTATTCAAGAGAATGAAGAAGTTACAGGGTATTTAGAACCAGTTAACAGAAAATGAACAACGGTTTCTGTATTATCTCCTTGCCTATAAAAATTTTTGTTTATACTATCGGCATATAGTAAAATATAGTAAGATACCACATGTTAAAACTAGTGGAAACAGATGTACAACAGCTTGATGGGACTTCAAAACAAGATGATATTAAATCAGCACTAGATTTTATGATGTGTTGTTTTCTTCAGAATAGCTATTTGTACTGTCACAGATACTAAAATCGAACAACCCAGGTTAAAACCATTGCAATTAATGAGAGATAACATTATATGGATTCAAACCAATATGATTGAGAATCATGAGTACCACATACTTTTATGTATTCTTATCATTTCTTACATTAGGGAAACTATTTGGTATTTATACATGTGAGTTTGATTTATTTCACTTATGCGTATGGTCTCAAGCTGCGTCCATTTATTTATAAATATCTCAATGTGATCATTCTTTATAGCTGAGTATTACTCCATTGTATAAAAATACCACAACTTTTTTATCCATTCCTCAGTTGATGGACACTTAGGTTGTTTCCAAGATCTGGCTATTACAAATTGTGCTGCTATAAATATGGGTGCGCATATATCACTGTGGTATGATGCTTTCAGTTCTTCTGGGAATATGCCTAGAAGTGGAATAGCTGGGTCAAATGGTGTCTCCAGTCCCAGCTTTCTGAGAAGTCTCCAGACTGACCTCCACAATGGTTGCACTAGTCTACACTCCAATCAACAGTGCAGGAGAGTTCCTTTTTCCCTACAGCCTCTCCAGCATTTGTTGTTGTTGGTTTTCTTGATCTTGGCCATTCTTTCAGGAGTGAGATAAAATATCAGTGTGGATTTAATTTGCATTTCTCTAATGACCAGTGATAGTGAACATTTTTCATGTATTTATTTGCCATTTGTATTTCTTCTGAAAATTGTTTATTCACCTCAGATGCCCATTTTTGGATTGGGTCTTTGAATTTTGGGGGTCTGATTTTTTAAATTCTTTATATGTTTTAGACAGAAGTCCTTTGTCTGAGGGGCAGTTCACTAAGATTTTTTTCCAGTTTGTGGGTTTTCTTTTCACTATGCTGGAGATTTCTTTTGATGTGCAGAAACTTTTTAATAAGAGGTGATCACAGTTATTGACTCTGGGAAGTATTTCCCGTGCGATTTGACTCCTGTTCATGAATTCTCTACCTACTCCTATGTCTTCAAGGTTTTTACCCAATTTGTCTTCCAATAGATTTAGTGTTTCTTTTAATATTTAGATCTTTGATCCATTTAGATTTTATTTTAGTACATGGTGATAGGCATGGGTCTAGTTTTAGTTTTTGGCATATGGAGAGCCAGTTTTTCCAACACCACTTATTAAAGAGACTGTCATTCTTCCAGTGAATATGTTTGGCCCCTTTATCAAAGATAAGGTGGTTGAGTGTGTTTGTGTCTTCTAATCTATTCCACTGATC